ATTCTTTCACCACTATTCCTCACCGTCACCTTTGTCATAAATCAGGTGCCCATATGTTTCTGGACTCTCTGTCCCATTGATCTATTTTCTATCCTTGTGCCAATATAATTCTGTTTTAATAACTATAAATTTATAATAATCTTGATAAATGATAAGTCCCCAAATTTTGTTATTCTTCTTCAAGAGTGCCTGAATATTCTTGCCCTTTGCATTTTCATATAAATTTTTAAAATTGGCTTGTGAACATCACCCTTCCCCCAGTAATTTGCTAGGATGTTGATTGTGGTTGTATTGAAGCTATAGATCAATATAGTGATAACTGACAACAACATGGAATCTTCTAATTCATGAACATCATCTGTTCCTTCATTTTAGATCTTTAATCTCCCCCAATCTTTTAATAGTTCTTAGTGTAGAGGTTTTGCATATGTCTAGTTAGAGTTACTCTTAGACATCTGATTTTTTTATGGCTTTTGTTAACGGCGTCTTTTAAAATTTTTCATTCTTCATTTGATCATTGATGGTTCATAGAAATACAATGGTTCTTTGTATTTTGCCTCTGTATCCCATGACCTTGCTCAGGGCACTTATTAATTCTCAATGTCTGTGGATCTGTTGGATTTTTCAATCTACTTAATCATGTCATCTGCAAATAATGACAGTTTTATTTTTTTCCTTTTTAATCTTTGTGCTCTGTATTTTTTCTTTTTTCTTACTTCTGTAAAATCTCCAGTAAAATGTTGAATAGAGGTGGTATGAGTCAGCATCCCTGTTTCATTTCTGATTTTAGGGGGAAAGCTTTCAATAACTCACCAATAAGAATGATGTTGGGAATTCCCTGGTGGTCCAGTGGTTGGTTAGGACTCCATGCTTTCACTGCCGAGGGCATGGGTTCAATCCCTGTTCGGGGTAATGAGATCCCACAAGCTGCGTGGCATAAAATTAAAAAATTTAAAAAAATAAAAATAAAATAAAATAACTCTGGCAGTCCAGTGGTTAAGACTCTGCATTTCCACCGCAGGGGGCACGGGTTCTATCCCTGGTTGCGGAACTAAGATCCCGCGTGCCGCATGGTATGGCCAAAAATTTTTTAAAAAATAAAAATTAAAAAAAAAGAATGATGTTTGCTGAAGGATTTTTGTGGATATTCTTGATTAAAGACATTCCCTTCTATTCCTAGTTTGCTATGAATTTTTTAAATTACAAATCAGTATTGTATTTTATCAAATACCTTTTTCAGCATCTATCATAATGATCATATGATTTTTTTTCTCCTCTTTTTTCTGTTAACGTGATAAATAAATTCTTTTCGAATGTCACACCTCTCTTGCATTCCTGAAATAAACTCCACTTGGTTGTAAGGTATTATGCTTTTTATATACCCCTGGGTTTGATTTGCTAATGTTTTGTTTAGCAGTATTGCATCTACGTTAAAGAGAGAGATGGCTAATTTTCCTTTCATGTGTCGTTCTTGTCAGGTGCTAATATCAATGTCATGCTGGCCCCACAAAATGATTGGAAAGTGTTCTCTCATTTTCTCTTCTCTGGAACAGTTCATGTAAGATTGGTATTGCTTCTTTACGTGTTTGGGAGAGCTCACTAGTGAAGCCATCTGGGCCTGGAGTTAATGGATTCAGTTTTTAAAATTTGGGATTATTCAGATTTCACTTCTTTTGTCAGTTTTGGTAAATTTACTTTTCAAAGAATCTGTCCTTTTCACCTAAATTGTCAAGCTTACTGGCATAAAGTTGTATATACTATCCTCTTATTATTTCATAAATGTCTTAGGCTCTGTTCTGATGTCCTCTTTTCATTCATATTGGTAATTTATGTGTTTGCCTTTTTTTTTTTTTCTTGATCAGTGTTGCTAGGGGTTTTTATCAGTTATATTACTCTTTCTAAAAACCAAACTTTAGCTTTGTTGATTTTCCCTACTGTAGGTTAGTTTTCTATTTCACTGATATATGCTCATGTCTTTATTTCTTCCTGTACTCTCTCTGGGCTTGATTTGCTATTCGTTTAGCTTTTTGAGATGGAATATTAGATGACTGGTTTTCAGCCTTTCTTTTTTTTTTAATTTTTTTTTAGCATATGCATTTAAGGCTCTGCATTTCCTCTAAACACTGCTTTAACTGTATCACACAAGTTTTGATTTGTCCTATGTTAATTCTCATTCAGTTCAAAATATTTTAAAGTTTCCATTATGATTTTATCTTTGGCCCTAGGTTATTTAGAAGTACATTGCTTAATTTCCAAGAAGTTAGAATTTTAAGCAGTGGAGTAGCATGCTTTTAAAAATTCTTTCTGGCAACTGGTACGGAAAGGATGTACCCAGAGGGAGAAGTCTTGGAAGAGAAAGGTCAGGAGACTAATGAATGGGTCCAAGCAGGAGACAGTAAGGTCAATGGGGCAGAACTGAGTCCCTGGAGATGCCAAAACGCACATGAGAATTCTGAGAATGATAAAGGTGGTATTTCAAATCTGCAGGGATAATATGAGCTATTTGAGAAGTAATGTTGAGACAATTTCATTTTGGGGGGAGAAAAAGTAAAGCTGGATATATGCAAAAATAAAGTCTAGATGAATCAAAGACTCAAGCATAAGAAATGAAACAAAGAAAATATCAAAGAAAACATGAGTGAATTATATAATCTCTGAGTGGGGAAGCGTGACACAAAACTCGAGTCATACAGGAAGAATAATTTGACTACATAATAAATGTAGATGTGGGGAAAAATATAAGCCAGTCAAACAGAGAGCTAAGTGAGAAACAGTGTCTAACACATTGACAATTTCTTTTGGACAAAAAGCTCTTATAAATTAGTAAGAAAACAATAAAGACCTCATAAAAATGGATAATGTATATGAATAAGCAGGAAACAAACTTATAATAAGAGGCTTGACTTTACTCATAATTTAAAAAATAGATTTTTTTTCAAATTTTCTTTTTTTTTAAAGAGCTGGGCTTTTAAAAAATTTTATTTAATTGTTTTTTTGGCTGTGTGTTGAGTCTTCGTTGCTGCACGCAGGCTTTCTCTAGTTGCGACGAGCGGGGGCTGTTCTTCCTTGAGGTGTGCAGGCTTCTCATTGCAGTGGCTCCTCTTGTTGTGGAGCATGGGCTCTAGGCGCACGTGGGCTTCAGTAGTTGTGGCACGTGGGTTCAGTAGTTGTGGCACGCGGGTTCAGTAATTGGGGCACGCGGGCTTCAGTAGTTGTGGCACACAGGATCAGTAGTTGTGGCACGTGGGCTTCAGTAGTTGTGGCTCGTGGGCTCTAGAGCACAGGCTCAGTAGCTGTGGTGCACGGGCTTAGTTGCTTCGCGGCATGTGGGATCTTCCTGGACCAGGACTCAAACCCGTGTCCCCTGCATTGGCAGGCGGATTCTTAACCACTGTGCCACCAGGGAAGACCTAAAAAATAGTTTGGGAAAAAAAAAAAAAATAGTTTGGGAACAAAATGATGAGATACTCTTTTAAAACAAGGATGAGGAGGTCCGCACAGTCTGCTCAAGAGATGCTGTGAGGAAATAGGCCTTCCATTCTGTTGTTGGAATATGAATTGGTGCAGCCTCTTTGGGGGACAATCTGTCTGTATCAATTTTCCCCCCAAAATTTTTAGTGAAGAATTTCAAACGTACAGAAAATCTGAAAAACTTGTGCAGTGGACAACCACATACAACACTTAGATTTTACAATATATATATTTTTGTATATTACGTATATGTAAAATATGTGTGATAGTGCAAATATAACAAAATGTTGACAATTGTAATTGACATGTATAAAAATATGTTTATTTATATCCATCTATATATAAACATCCATCCATATATATTCATCTATCCGTCCATCAAGCCGTCTTATATTTTGAAGCATTTCAATGTAAATTGCAGACATCAGCACACTTCATCCCTAAGCATTTCATCATACATATCAACTAGAGTTCAATGTTTCCTTATAGTTCTTTTTTTTTTTTTTTGGAGGTAAAATTTACCTACAGTGAAACACACAAATTTTAAGTGGACCATCTGATGTATTTTTGACAATGCACACCTTTGTAATCCAAACTCCTATAGAGATATAGGATATTTCCATCACCCCAGGAAGCTCCTTTCTGCTCCTTCCCAGCTAATCCCCATCCCGCATTAGCCCAGGCAATATTTTCTTTTGCTATAGATTAGTTTTGCTGGTTCTAGAACAGCATATAAATGGAATCATACAGTAGATACTCTTTTATATAAGACTTCTTTCACTGAGCATAATGATATTCATGATTCACCCATCTTGCTGTGTGTGTCAATTGTTCGTTCCTTTTTACTCCTGCGTAGTATTCCATTGCCTGAATATGTCAGCTTATTGATTCCCCAGTTGATGGACATTTGGGTTGTTTCCAGTTTGGGACTGTTACAAATAAAGCTGCTATAAACATTCTTTTTCTGAGGTATTTTTGAGGACATGTGTTTTCTCTTGGGTTACTTGATGGGCAGGTACGTAGACAGAATGTATGCAGACCCTCACCCTGGGGCCCGTAGTCTATTTTAACTTTGGTACATGACACGGTGATGAGCATGTGCTCAGTGGCAGGTATAGAAAGTGCACAGTGGGAGGTGTGAGAAGGTAGCAAGTGCTCTGGGACAGAACCAAGGAAGGCCTCCTGGAGGAGGGGGTCTTGGTGCCAACACAGCTTGGTTTAGTGGGAGGACCAGGAGTTCTGGGTCAGACACGCCTGCATTCCAGTCTTATTCCCATGGAAAAAAGGTTCTTGGTAATGGGGGGACTTCCCTGGTGGTCCAGTGGTTAAGATTCCGCACTTGCACTGCATGGGGCATGGGTTTGATCCCTGGTCAGGGAACTAAGATCCCACATGCCATGTGGTTCATCCAAAAAAAAAAAATCCTTGGGAGTCTTGCTTTCCTCTTCTGTAAAATGGAGATAGTGGCAATGCAGGATGTGATGGAGTAACGGTGCCTCTTTTGTTAAATGTTCTTTTTTTCTCTTCAGGCCTGGCTCCCCTGGCCACCTTCAATGTGGACATGGTCCAGACCTGGGTGACTCCCAAGGGAGACGTCCCCTACGTGCTCAGCTCACTTCTGCATCAGGACTCCAGCACCAACCAGACCTGGTGAGTGGGGCGGCCCGGCGCGCGGGGCGGGGTGTGTGAGGACTGATGAGTCCTTGGGGAGCCTGAGAAGGCCCCCAGACAAGCCCTCGGCACCCCACACCCCAGCAGGGGAGAGGCCGTTAGCTCAGGGCCCGTTCTCCCAGCCCTGGCCCCTCTCCTCACCCTGGCCTCTCTGGGGGTGGGGGAGGGGAGGCTAAAAAACTTTTAAAATAAAGTTTATCAAGGCTCTTTTGTCTGTTACAAAAGTAACGTGCTCAACATAGAAATTTTGGACAGTGACGGAAAATATTTCCTTTAAATGGAAAATATGAGGCAGGTGGGCGTGGTGGTTACGAGGAGGCTGTGCATCTGGTCGCCGTGGTTCGGTGACAGCTTCGCTCTGTATTTATAGCAAGGCACGCAACCCCCAGCCTCAGTTTCTCATCTCTGCAGTGGGGGTGATTATTTTCCTACCTCACAGGGTTGTTGCAAAGAGTATTTGAGTTCATGCACGTAAAGTGTTTGGCACAATTTCTGGCCAAATTTAAGATCAATACGCATTACTTTGTATTTTAAACTTCTCATCTGTACCCACCCATTAGATAAGTAAAACATTTTAAGTCTGATAGCATTCTGCTGGTAAGGATGTGGTGAAACAGGAACTTGTAGGAATGTGAGTTGGTATAACCACCTGGGAGAATCATTTTGCCGTATCAGGTAGAGCTGAGGATGCAGGCGGCCCTTGATTCAGTGATTCCACCCCCAGATACCAACCCTAGGGAACTTTTGGGGCACACCTAGAGACATTGACTGGGACATTGTTTTGAAATAAGCATCGTCGGAAAAATGGAAGACATAAGGTGTGAATCATACAATGCGACACTGAAAGCAGGTAAAATGAACGGATTGAGTGCAGTGGTTATGAACCGGATCAGCCTCGAAACACATCGTAAAATGCAAAAGGCAAGTTGTAGAATTATTTATACCATGGCCCTTCACTCCGCAAGCATTTATACAATAACGACTACTGTGTACCAGGCCCTGAGGGAACAGCGGTGAGCAAAGCAGACACAAATCCTTATGCTCGGGGGAAATAGACAATAAGCAAGTAAATCAAATGTAGATTCTATCAGATGGAGGTAGTGGTGGTGTGCTGATTAGGGACATGTCTTTGGTTTTAGGAGAAGTTCTGCAGTGAAGGGTCACGACACACACCCCAACGTCCCCTGTTGTCACCAAGATGACGTTTAGAGCTGCTCATTTTAAAGCCAGGGTTCAGTCAGAGTTCCTGTGTTGCGTATCGTGGCTGTATCTCTTTAGTCTCCCTTACTCTAGAGCAGCCCTTCCTCTCCCTGTCCTGTTCGTGGCAGGGCTCTTTCTGTGCTTGCTCCACCGCCCAGCTGCCCCTGGCTGGTTCCCTACCCCACCTCTCACCTGCCGCTGCTTTGCTTTGCTTCTGGTCCACGGTGAGGGGTTTCCTTCAGACCCGGCAACCCTGAGCCATGAGCCCAGGGTCCAGATAGCTTTGGGGGCAGAGTCAGGTGAGGCACTCAGGGCTCCTGGCTGAGTGGAGCTCTGTCTGGTAGCAGATGGGTGGGCAGTGGTGGCTCCCGAGGCAGCCTCATAGCCCTGGACTTGGGCCATGGCCACGCCAGCCAAGCGGGCTCGGACCCTATGCTTGATTTCCTCACTGTCCAGTGAAGAGGCTGGTGACCATTAGATTTAAGTGGTGAGGGCAGGGCCCATTCACTCATTCATTCATTCATCAGTATTTATGGAGCATCTACTCAGCGCCAGGCAAAGCTAGGGGGATAAGATACTAAAGGAGACAGTCCATGCCCTCATGGAGCTCCCAGGCTCTTGTGGGAAGCAGACAAGTTGGTCGATGACAGGAAGAGTGAAGACTGCTCTGTGGGGACGTCCAGGGTGCGTTGGGGACATAGAGGCACGTGTGCCCTTCAGCCAAAGGATGTACCTTGACACTGGGACTTAGGGGCTGAGTAGGAATTAGTGTGAGAAGGCATGGGAGGGGGATCGGGGCTGAGAGCTGCGTGGTCAGAAGTCTGGAAGCCAGCCTGAGCCAGGTGCGGGGGCTGGGGAGGTGTCGGCGGCTGAAACTGAGCGCGATGAGACATCGCATGGGGGAGGTGGGCCATGCTTTGTCGGCCGGCACAAAGGTTCGGGGAGCCTGAAAGGCTTGAAGGGCGGTGAGAAGGTTGTTAGGAATATTCTGGTTCCAGGAAGAATTAAAGGTAAGCATTGCTCATGTTTTGTCTTGATAAAGTTCTATTGCTGCACTATTGCACAGAAAACTGCACGTCATCAGAGTGCCGCTCAGTGAATGTTCACAAAGTGAGCCACCCACGTAAGCAGCGTCCAGATCGAGGCAGAACAGGACCAGCCTCTCATAAGCCCCCTGCAGCCATGTGCTCCCTTCCACGCACATCCCAGGCGAGAGTTAACCCCCGCTCCCACCCCCGGCCCAGCTCTGCACTTTCTTTCACTGGGTGAATGCACTTCTTTTTATTAGGCACAGGGTGCCCAGCAGTGGAATTGCTGGATCGTGGCTTCTACGCTGGGTCAGCATTCAGTTTTCACAAAGTTTGCAATGTGTGAGCGTCCTGCAGTCCCCGCACTCATCAAGGTCGAGGCCGGGTTTCGGCCATGCTGTGCCCATCTCCTGCCGAGCCCCCTCCCTCCAGTACCCCAGCAGGGCCCTCACCACTCCAGCTTCAGACCCAACAGACTTTAACCCCCCTCCCTCAGAAGCCAAGCCAAGGGCTTCCCTGGTGGTGCAGTGGTTGGGAATCTGCCTGCCAACGCGGGGGACACCTTTTCGAGCCCTGGTCTGGGAAGATCCCGCATGCGGTGGAGCAACTAAGCCCGTGCGCCACAACTACTGAGCCTGCGCTCTGGAGCCTGTGAGCCACAACTATGGAGCCCACGTGCCACAACTATGGAGCCCACGTGCCTAGAGCCCGTGCTCCGCAACAAGACAAGCCACTGCAATGAGAAGCCCGGGCACCTCAACGAGGAGTGGCCCCCACTCGCCGCAACTAGAGAAAGCCCACGTGCAGCAACGAAGACCCAACACAGCCAAAAATTAATAAATAAAATTAATAAATTTATATATTAAAAAAAAAAAAGCCAAGCTGAAAGGCCACAGTGGAAGAGGGGACTTTGAAGTATCCAGAGCAGAAGGCTCCGAGCCCCCCAGGGATGGGGGGAAGAGCCCACTTGGGCCCAAGAAAACCTCCCTGGACACCTGCTGAAGCAGAGAGGGTCTCACGGGTTTGAACGTGCACCGGGGAAGGATGTGGTGGGAGGCACCTCTGGGTTCCTGCCTCAAACCTTGGAGCCTGAGACCACGGGGTGCTGCACAGGGCAGGAAACGCGCTTCTGGCCGCCCCGGCCGCAGAGGAACAGGCTGGGCTCCTCGTGCAAGGACCACACGTGCCTCTCTCTCCCTCACGTTGTTTCTACGTAAGTTGTAACAGCCAGGGCTGGCAGCATCATGGACTTGGCCGCTGCAGCGGGGTGGAGTGGAATATAACGAAGGCCTTCCCCCTGGGCGCTATGGGAATAGACTCTGAGGACAGAGATGAGTTACAGCTGGGTGAAGCCAGGAGATGGGCTGCACTCAGCCCAGGTGTGATAGGGTCCCTGGGGCTGTCAGCTGATGGTGAGCTCAGTTATAGTTTAGTTTGCCAGCCACTCAGTCGGTAAACCTGGAGATCAAGAGACCACCCACCATGGTGGAGGTGGTTAAAGGGACGGGCGGCAGAGGCAGCTCAGACGGGGCCCCGGGCCCCCGGCATTGCGTGACTGTGATATGGGTGGCAACCTTGGGTTCTGCAGTGAACAGCCTGTGCAGCTGTACATGGTGGTCTCTCAAGAACTCACAGTCTAGGTGGGAACAAAAGCCAAGGATAAGGGTAGGTGTCCAGTGGTGAGGGCTTCCTGGAGGGCTTGGAGGGGTCAAGGTGCTCCTTCTTTTGGGAAAAGGCTTCCTGAGGAGCTGGCACTTGGGAAGGTCGTTCTGCAGGAAAAGGAGCCGAAAGGCATTGCAAGCGGAAGCAACAGCTTGGGCCAAGGCCTAAAGGAGGAGGGAGAGCTGAGGCTATTCCAGGCCTGCACCTACCCCACCAAGACGTGGCTGGGTTGGATCCCAGTTCTGAGCCCACCTTTACGGGGGAGCAGAGAATAAGGTGCTGGGCCCAGGGCTGAGGCTCAGGCTGGGAGGGGTCTGCGGAAAGAGGCAAAGTTGTTGAGCAAGTGACCTAATTTAGGGGCTCAGCTGCAAGCCCACAGAGCTCAGCTGCACGTGGTCCTCTGCCCCTCAGCCTTGCCCCAGATTAGCCCCCTCATGTGCTGCCTCGGCTGTTGTTCAGTCGTCATGTAACAGATGTTTACCAAACCCCTGCTCTGTGCCAGCCACTGTTCCAGGTGCTGGAAATAACATGGCAAACGAGAGGCAAGGGGAACTTGGGGAACTTGGGAGGTCTTGGACTTGGTTCACTGTTACCAAGCTCCTCTCCCCGTAGACTGTAAGTTTCCTTGGGGAACTTAGAGTCTAGGGGGAGAGACTGATAATAAACAGTAAACGAGTAAACAGGATGCTATCAAACGGGGACAGGTTCTGGGAAGGAAATAAATGGGACGATGCAGAGCAGAGTAACTGGATTGTGAGGTGAGGCTGGTTGGAGAAAGCATTTGTGAGGAGGTGACAGTTAAGCGAGGCCAAGGAATGAGAATGAGCCAGGTTGGGGAGAGAGGGGGCGCAGCAAGGCAGAGGGCCCAAGCCGGGAAAGAGCTGGGGGCAGCCTAGGAACGGAAGCCAGCCAGTGCGGGGCTAGAGCTTGGAGAGCAAAGGAGCAGGAGGGGAGTCTCAGCGGTGGGGAGGTGCTAGATCGTGCAGGGCCCCGTGGGCTGCAGCAAGGGGTATGGACTCTTCACCTAAGTGCACGGGAGGCAGCTGAAACAGGGCAGTGACGTGGTGTAATCTACAAGGGTAAATTTATTTTATTTTATTTAAACACTTATTTATTATTTACTTATTTTCCTGTGCCGGTCTTAGCTGAGGCACGTAGGATCTTTGTTGCAGCATGCATGTGAGATCTAGTTCCCCGACCAGGGATTGAACCCGGACCCGCTGCATTGGGAGCTCGGAGTCTTACCCACTGGACCACCAGGGAAGTCCCAAGAGCAAATTTAAAAAACAAACAACAGAAAAAAATAACAGGGGGCTATTACTACACACCAGGCAAGATGATGGTGGCAGGGGAAACAGAAGAGATGTTCTCTAGATATAGTTTGGAGGAAGAACCAACAGGGTTTACTGATGGATTTGATGAAGGGGATGAGTGAAAAGACGAAGCAAGGGTGCCCCCAGGCTTTGGACTTCAGAACATAGTGGTTGGTGGTGCCATGTATTGTGTCAGGGAAGATGGAACAGTTCAGTTCAGGCAATGGAGAGCAAGACCATAGTTGTGTTTCGAACGTTCTAAGTTTGAGATGCCTATTAGACAATGGGCAGTTGTTTATTTATTAGTTTCCTAGGGCTGCTATAACAATTCATCACAAACTTAGTGGCTTAAAACAGCACAAATGACTATCTTACAGTTTTGGAGGTCAGATGTCCAAAGAGGGTCTTACTGAGCTGAAATCAAGGCATTAGCAGGGCTGTGTTCCTTCTAGAGCCTCAAGGGGAGGATCTGTTTCCTCACTTCCTTGGGGTTCTAGGCGCTGCCTGCATTCCTTGGCTTGTGGCCCCTTCCTCCATTTTTAAAGGGTCTGATAAGGACCCTTGTGATTACATTGGGCCTACCTAGATAATCCAGTATAAATTCCCCAACACAAGATCTTTAACGTAATCTACGAAGTCCCTTTTGCCATAAAAAGTAGCGTATTCCTGGGCTCTGGGGGTTAGGACATGGACTTCTCTGGGCGGGGCAGGTCATTATTCTGCTTTCTAGAGCTGCGCTGGTCTGGCTTCTGGTGGAGGGATGCTAGCATTGCAGATATAAAGGTGGGAATGTCAGCATTGATAGGTGTATTGAAGCCAGGGATTGGAGGGGGGATCAATCACCAGGGAGAGTGAGTGGACGAGGAAAACAGGGACCCAGCCCCGGGACACCAGTGACATTTAGAAGTCAGACAGCGAATGAGCAAGCAAAGGAGTTTGAGAAGGAGTAGTGAGAGAGGTCAGGGGAACCAAAAAGAAAGTGTTTCAAGGGAGAGACGGTTACTTCTGCCCTGGGCTGTTGAGAGGTTGAGGAAGATGAGGGCAGAAAGGTGTCCCTTGGATCTGACGATGTGTGGACCACCGCTGACCTTGACAGGACCCGTCAGGGGTGGAAGTCAGCTTGGGCTGGGGTAAGCTGGGTAGGGCACACACACACAGGTGTAGATTTTATTATTATCCTGTCACCCATGGAGATAAGTGAATGATACGTTTCATATTTTTTTTAAACATCAAGTAACGGGAGGTGAGGAAGTGGAAACATGACCTCGTTCCTGGCCCCCAAACCACTGTAACTCATCATGACTTGTCTAATCCCCTTTATAAAGCTTCCCCTTTATAAAGCTTTCCCTTTATAAAGCTTCCCCTTTATAAAGCTTCCCCTTTATAAAGTCCTCCGTGGCTTCCTACTGCCCTCAGCATAAAACCTTGGACTTGGTTCAGTGTTATCAAGCTCAGCCTCGGGCCCCTTCCCCAACACCCCCTACTCACAGCTCCTAGGATGGGGCGCGCTCTCCCTGTCTCGGCGCAGCCCTGATCCTCCCTGGGCAGCATGCACACGGAATGTTTAGGCTGACGCTGGCTCTCTACTGTCTCCCTGGGCAGGGGGCAGAGTTTGCCATTGGGAATCACGTCTCCTGAGGCTGCCTTAACCAGGCTGAGGGGCCCAGAACCTCCAGTTCTGACCTGCCCCTAGGAGAGGGGCACAAGTGTGCTCTTCTCAGGAAGTGCTGTCACTGGGGCCAGGTGGGGCAGGCGCCCTTGCAGCCACTAGGAAGGCAACAGAAGGAAGGCTTCTGTCCCCAGCAGAAGCAACTGTGCCGCTGGTGGCTTCCTGGTTCCCCCCACCGCCATCAAAGAGCAGCGAGTGTTTATTTACCACCAATATCACCCCATTTCTGTCAGGGGGGGCCAGCAGGCAGAGAGGGGATGCATTTAGCCATTTCCTGCCTGGAGCTGTGCAAAGGTTGAGCCCATGCCTCCCTCGTAATGCAGATCCACCATCCTGGGCTGGGAGCCTGCCCGCCTTTCCAGGTCTGGTCTTCTGCATAGTTTTCCCCACAGGGAACCTGTGGGTCTGTGGGCCTGGAATGGAAGGACTGTGTCTGGGCAGGTAGGGAGGAAAAGGGAATCGCTGACCAGCTCAACTTTGCTGCCGACTCTTTCGCTCAGGCTCCTGGTAACCAGCCCCAGGACCAGCAGGACGGCAGGGCCCCTGTATCAGTGTTCCCTCATTCAGGATGAGCTCCATTGCCAGCCAGTAGGTAAGTCAGCCCCTGCTCCCGGGAATGCTCCCAGGACCTCCTTTCTAGGAATCCCACTCATCCAGCCCAACCATTCCAGTCTCTCCACCCTAGCCTCCACCACCAGCCACAGCAAGCCTTCCATCCTGGTGCCCAGTCCCATCCCCACCCAACCCTAACCCCCAGCCCACCTTTCCGGACCCAATCCTAACAACAAAAATGAAACCTAAAATGGATGGAGTGCTTACTGAGTCACCTGACACTCTGCTAAGTGGTTCGCGGACTTTTAATCCTTAAAACCACACCATTTTACAGAAGAGAAAGCTACAGTTCAGAGAAGTCCTTTGGTTTCCACTATGACTAAGGTCACGCATCTGAGCAGCACCACAGATGCAAACCCAACTCCACCCGATTCCAAATCCCAACCTACTGCAACTCACCACGCCTCAATGGAACCCGCGCCCCCACAATCTAACTGTGGCCATCCTAGCGCCTAGCATGGGGTCTGCCATATATTAGGTGCTCAATAATGCTGTTTGAATGAACAAAGGAATGGACCTAATTCGCTCGTTGACCAAACTCCCCCCATTCTGCCCAGCCCAACTGAAGGCCCACTTTGCTGACGACTGTTGGGCCATGTCAGGTGGAGTCCTGGTCTCTGTGGGAGGGGCTGTGTTGAACAGCCTCCATCTCTGCATCAGAAGGGCACGCAGTCCGGCAGGGTGACTGAGTGATCCTGGGACTCAAAAATGCAAGTCTCCTGAGGCCCACAGTGGGGCGGGAGGGGAAGGAGCTACACTTCTGCCCCTGGGGATGTGGGGCAGTAAGATTCCCCGGAGACAGGACTCTGAGAGGGGAGAGTTCATTGGATTCTAGGGCCAGTCCCCCAGCCTCTTGCCATTCCTCCCTGGTGCTGCACACACCTGCCAGCTGGTGCTTCTCTGCCTGCCTGCCCAGCAGCCCAGGGGCCCCTGGACGACCACCACCAGGTCTCAGTGTTTCTGGATCCCTATCACCATCTGTCGCAGGCTGGGCACAGAGCAGACATCACGGGGCATATGTTGAATGAGACACCGAATGAGCCTGGGAGAGAGGCCTGTCCGTGAAGGCCCCCCGCATCCAGCTTCTAGAGGATGCTCTGAGTGGCCAGCTCTTCCTCATGGGGCTTTGACCAAGATGGCCCTGTGCCCTCTGGCCTTGGCTCCTGGGTTGCCTCCCAGCATTCCTCCCTCCTTACCTGGGCCTCACTGTTTCAGAGAATGTCCCCATCCCAAAGGGGAGGTACCGTGGAGTGACAGTTGTCCGGAACCACCATGGTGTTTTGGTGAGTATGCGTGGCGAGGGAGGGTGGAGGGCCTTGGGGAGCTGGTGCTACCCCTGTGGTTGACCGTGGTGGATACCAGTCCTGAATGGCGTGTTATTCTCAGGGCTGAGCCCAGCTGTATCCCCAGCAGCCCCAGGGCTGACAGCGGCTCTGAGCTGGGTACTCCGTGTGACCCAGCACACTGACCCTGGCAGTGACTCCTACCCCTGGTGAGGGGTGAGCACGCTGTTCCTGCGTCCCCTGCCTGGTTGAGCCACTGGGTTCTGACGTGGGGGTGTGGGTGTGGCTGCGACGAGGGGGCCTGGGCTGGGGGTGACCGGGGCTTTCCCCTCCTTTTCTCCCCCTCCTCTAGATCTGCATTCAAGTGACGACCCGGTGGCCCCAGAGCCTCAGCTCAGAGCTCACAGGCAACTGCATCCTGCTGGCCCCTGACCTCCATCCCCGTGCCCAGGTCTACTTCTCCGACCTTGGTGAGGACTGGACCCTCGTTGGACAGCTCTGAAGGGATATCCTGGGGTCTGCAAGAAGAGGCGCCAGCCCGTGGTAGATGCAGAGGGACACAGAGGCCCAGAGAGGGCAAGGCAGGCTTAAGCCCCATGTGAAGGAACCAGGGCAGATCTAAGAGCAGGCTTACCTGGAGGTGAACGAGGAGGCCATCTGACTCTGAGCTCTTCCATGTGTACTTTTTAAAGAAAAATTACTGGACCCTGATGCCCCTGTGGATGCTGGAGACTGCTCCAGGAACAAAAAAGGCAGCACGGAGAACACAGCCAGGCCGCGCCGGGAATTGAAGGTGGAGGAGGAGGAGACAGAGGACGAGGACGAGGAGGCAGCTGGTGAGAAGAGGCAAATCTGGTCGCTCCCAGAGCTGTCAGAGCTGACTCCCTAGGCTGGAGACCTCCAGGGCTGAGGCATGCCTAGGTCCAAGAGATGGAGAGCAGTGGCTGGATTCTACAGGCCTGGCCAGCCCCAGCCCTGTCTCTCTCCATCTTACAGCTGGGAAAACGGAGGCCCAGAGAGTGGGGGTGCTGGGAGTGACTCACGCAGCAAGTCAGAGCCTGAGCAGGTTCTGGCTCTCTCTCTGCCTCTGAGACAAAGGCTTCACTCTTGGGAGTGGCACCGATGCCCTCCCTGAACTGAGCCCTCAGGGCTTGAACTGGGTGGGTGCCCTTCAGGGCAGGACGAGTTGCCCTCACTCCTGCCCCAGATGCCAAGCCCACTCCTGACCTGTTCCCTGTCTTGGCCCAGGCACCGAGATCGCCATCATCCTGGATGGCTCAGGAAGCATCGATCCCCCAGACTTCCAGAGAGCTAAAGACTTCATCTCCAACATGATGAAGAACATCTATGAGAAGTGCTTTGAGGTGGGCTTCCCTAAGGGCTGGACTCACACAGCTTGTGTGTTATCTACCTCTGGGAACAAACCACCTCAAAACATCCACCAGCGATCTGCTCTCCTTCTATTGGGTCAGCTGTTCGGTCTGGGCTCAGCTGGGTGGTTCTTTTGCTGGTCTTGCCTAGAGTTATTCCTGCAGCTGCAGACATCTGGTTGTTTGACTGGACCCTAAGATGCCCTCGCTTGTCTGGACCATGTGTCTCCAGCAGCCCAGCCCAACTCTTTCATGGCAAGCACTTTCCAAACCTCTGATTATATCACATTTGCTGATGTCCCATTGGCCAAAGCAAGTCACCTGGCCTATCCCGGAGTCAGTGTGGAAGAGGGGGACTACACAGGGACATGGATTCAAGGAGAAGTCTGTGATTCACTGGGAGCCATTACTATCATACCTTCCTCCACCCCCACTGGCTTAGAGATTTCCCTCTGCCTGAGTATTTCCTCCTGCCCAGAAACTAGGAGGAATGAGTGGATTCTTCCACTGCTTCCAGGCGGAGCCATCTAAGGGGCAGGGGTGGCCTTGGGCAACTCTGCCAAACTCCTTCCCTCTCGGCCCGTCCCCTGCAGTGCAACTTTGCCCTGGTGCAGTATGGGGAAGTCATCCAGACAGAGCTTGACCTTCAGGACAGCCAAGACGTTACAGCCTCCCTCGCCAGAGTCCAGAACATCACTCAAGTGGGGAGTGTCACCAAGACTGCCTCTGCCATGCAGCATGTCCTGTGAGTGTGAGGGCAACAGAATTACCTGTACACCTACTGAGTGCCAGTCCACGGCCCTGCCCAGAGGCTCTGAGGCATCCTACCTGGAGAAGGTGGCTGGACAGACTGTGTAGAGGAGAGGGTCAGGGTTCAGGCTCTTCCTTGGCTGAAAGGGGACACTGTGAGGTCTTCCAACCCAGCCTTGGCTGATGGATGACACCCCAAGACAGTCCTCCAAAAATTCTTCCAAAGACTCCTGCGAGCAGCTTGTACTCGTGAGACCTTGGGCGAGTTGCCTAACTGCTCTATGCTTCAATTTTCTTACTTTTTTCTTTTTTTTTTTTTTTGCGGGACGCGGGCCTCTCACTGTTGTGGCCTCTCCCGTTGCGGAGCACAGGCTCCAGACGCGCAGGCTCAGAGGCCATGGCTCACGGGCCCAGCCGCTCCGCGGTACGTGGGATCCTCCCGGACCGGGGCACGAACCCGTGTCCCCTGCATCGGCAGGCGGACTCTCAACCACTGCGCCACCAGGGAAGCCTCGATTTTCTCACTTTTAAAATGAGAATAATAGGGAATTCCCTGGTAGTCCAGTGATTAGGACTTGGCGCTTTCACTGCTGAGGCCAGGGTTCAGTCCCTGGTCGGGGAACTAAGATCCTGCAAGCCGCAAGGCGTGGCCAGTAATAATGATTAATAATAATAATAATAGTACTTGCCTTAAAATATGTACGGTGCATACCAGAGTGCCTGGCATCTAAGTTCTATGTAAATCTTAGCCGCTGTTTTTAATATCATTATTATTCCCACACATACACACGAGGAATAGACTCCAGTGCTGTCCAGCACCTTTCTTTTTCTTTTTTTTAAAATAAATTTATTTATTTACTTATTTTTGGCTGCATTGGGTCTTCGTTGCTGTGCACTGGCTTTCTCTAGTTGTCCAGCACCTTTCTATTGGGAGCAGGTGAGGGGTAAGAACACCTGTGTTGCAGCCTCACCTCCACCCGCGCAGCTGTGTACCCAGGGACATCGCCACCCCTCTTTGGGCCTTTGTTCTCCCAGGAGGGCTCCTTAATCCTCTTCAATTCTAAAACAGATCAGCAAATAAAATCTCCCCAGGGCTCAGTCATCCCTTTGGCAAAGTTCTTTCCCTTTACTCTCCCCGATTTAGAGACAACATCTTCACACCAAGCCATGGCTCCAGAGAAAAGGCATCCAAGGTCATGGTGGTGCTCACTGATGGGGACATATTCGGGGACCCCCTCAACCTCACAACTGTCATCGACTCCACAAAGATGCAAGGTGTTGAGCGCTTTGCCATTGGGGTAAGAACTAGGTGCTGGGGGTACCTCGTGACCCTGTGCAGCCTGGGGTGGGGAGAAGCCAGGGCTCCTAGAAGGGCTTCAGTAAGCAGCTTACCCAAACCCTGCTGCACTCACAAACACTTACCAACTTCTCTTCTTTCAGCCCCCGTGTCCCATGCACCCCGCACTCCCCACCCCACTCAGGGTCTTCCCCAAAGACGGCTCACTTCCCAGTGGTGGTCACAGGTCACTCGCCCAGCAGTGATGGGGAGAGCAGTGGACACCCTGGGAGCCCACAGGAGGGATGTCAGGGAAGGTTCCAGGAGGAGCGGGTGCTGAGCTGAGTCTCGGAGGACAAAGAGGAGCAGCTGACGTAGGGCACAGGGGAGGCGGGAAGGGCTCTGCAGGCAGAGGGAATAGCGTGGGCAGGGGTGAGGAGCCAGTGTGTTCAGGAAAACACACGTAGAGTGTGTGGGAGAACGGGGAGCAGGGAAAGAAGGAGGCCTGGAGAGCCCTCGCGGTGCTGGCCCACTGACCCAGGGCCTCTGTGCAGGTGGGAGATGCATTTAATAAAACCAGGGCGTACAACGAGCTGAAGCTGATCGCCTCGGACCCCGATGAGGACCACGCCTTCAAGGTGACCAACTACTCGGCGCTGGATGGGCTGCTGAGCAAACTGCAGCAGAGCATCATTAGCGTGGAAGGTGAGGCTCCAGGTCCGGGGCCACCCTGCGGCAGCGCCCTCGGCATTCAGCAGGAGGCCCGAGGCCCACGCTCCAGCCCTACTCCAGTCCTCCCTCCATGTGGCACTCTGGCAACTCCTGTCACCTCTCTGAGCCTCAGCTGTTCCATCTCTAAAAAGGCAACAATATCCCCAGCCCTCCTCACTTTCCCCAAATTCCATGAAACTCTGATGAGAAGCTCTTTCTGGTACTGGAGGAAGAAGGGTGACTGGGGCATGATTCCTGCTCCCAGGAGCTCCCAGGTGAGGAAACTGAGGCCCAGGAAGAGGGAGGGGACGGCCCTCTTCCCAGCTATGCTGCCAGTAGCTACTAAAGCAGGACCCAGATCTCTACTCCAACCTGATGCTCCTCCCATCCTACCAGAACCTCCTTCCCTCTGGGAGGAGGCCAAGCCGGACCCTTCCCCGACTTGGTTTCTCCCTTCACCTTGGCCCACAGCAGTCTCACTGGGCTTCTTGGCTTCCAGGCACGGTCGGAGATGCCCTCCACTACCAGCTGGCACAGGTCGGGTTCAGCGCCCAGATCCTGGACGAGGTACGTGGCCGACTCAGCACCAGGCAGGCTCTCCACAGAGGAGGGGCCCCGGCGACTCCCAGGGACTCAGGGTCCCCTGGCTCTCAGTGCCCTGTGGTGAGGCCTCTGAAGGAGCCAATTTAAGATTTTTTTTTTTCATAGAGATTTTTTGATGTGAACCATTTTTAAAGTCTTTATTGAATTTGTTACAATATTGCTTCTGTTTTATATTTTGTTTTTTTTGGCCCCGAGGCATGTGGGATCTTAGCTCCCCAACCCGGGATCAAACCTGCGCGCCCTGCATTGGAAGGCAAAGTCTTAACCACTGGACCACCAGGGAAGTCCCATGAAAGAGCCATTTTAGGACAAAGGAAAACACTTCTGTGTGCTCGCCCTAACCTGGACCTTTGAGGTCGAGGAGAGAATGGCCCTGTTTATAACAGGAGGTCATTTCGTCCTGCGCTCAAGGATTAAGTGCTTCCTTAACAGACTGGTAACACCCAGGCCTGGGTGGGCTTGCCTACCAAGCCGGGTACTTCTCCCCACCAGAGGCCCTGTTCCCCACAGACGGGGGGGGATACGGGCAGTGAGGACACTGTCCTTGCATGTGGTGGAAGCGCGGTTAGCACATCAGTCGACACAGGTGGGCCTTGGGTGCCAGACTCAGGCTGTGCAGACTTGGAGGACATGAGCCCCATTTTGCTCAGTCGTACTTTTTTTTTTTAATTTAATTTATTTATTTTTGGCTGTGTTGGGTCTTCGTTGCTGCACGTGGGCTTTCTCTAGTTGCAGCGAGTGGGGGATTCTCTTGTGGAGCACAGGCTCTAGGCACGCAGGCTTCAGTAATTGTGGCACGAGGGCTCGGTAGTTGTGGCTCGTGGACTCTAGAGCACAGGCTCAGTAGTTGTGGCGCACTTGCTTAGTTGCTCTGCGGGATGTGGGATCTTCCCGGACCAGGGCTTGAACCTGTGTCCCCTGCATTGGCAAGCGGATTCTTAACCACTGTACCACCAGGGAAGTCCCTCAGTCATACTTTTTTAAATGCTCAATATCTGGGCCCCGGGTTGGATTTCTGCCCCAGGGGTTGCTGGTACTGGAGGGACAGCTGCCCTGACAGGGTCATGGGTACAAGGCAGGAACCCAGTGTTTGCCTCTCGCCTTCCTCCTGCGTCTCTGGCCGGGTGCACTGAATGCCCCTCATCCCCACTGCAAGGTTTGCTGTGCTGGCAGGTAGACCCGATGCCACCCTGGCTGGCCCTGGGTCTCTCCCGCTCAGATGGCCGCCAACCCTTGTCCCCTGCAGGGGCAGGTGCTGCTCGGTGCTGTAGGGGCCTTCGACTGGTCGGGGGGCACGCTGTTCTACAACATGAGCAGCCGCAAGGGCCGCTTCCTGAACCAGACGGCGGTGGATGCCAAGGCTGTGCAGTACAGCTACCTGGGTGAGGGCGGGGCCTGGAGGCTACCTGGGTGTGGGCGGGGCCTGTACAGGGACACAGGCTGCAGTGCACTTCCTAGCTGGGGAGGGCCCAGGTCGGTCACATGGACTGAGGGAAGGGCCCCACTTAGGGAGCCTGAGGCTGAGAATTAGGCCTGCTTGGTACCAAAGCGCCAGGTCCCGGCAGCTGCCTAGGGAGGTAGGGCCTCTCCGTTAGTAATGGCAGTGGGTGACCCTTCACCCCTCCTCAGTCTTCATGCACTGCGTTTGTGATGAACGTGTGTGGAGTGTATTTTGAGTGAAGCTGTGTGTACGATCGTGTGTGTCTGTCCCATCTGTATAGTGGGACACACGCGTGTGAGCAGCCGCATGGGTAAGTGGAGCCACTGCTGATGATTTTAAAAGGATGTGGAAGATAGTCTCTCCATTTTTGCCTCCCTGCCCAAGCTACTTCGAAGTCCTGGCTGGGAAGGGGGGCGGGGCAAAGGAGTGGCCCAATGGGAGATCCTGATCGCAGTTCCACATCCCCCCCACCACCACCAGGTTACTCGGTGGCGGTGCTGCACAAGGCCTGTGGCCTCTCCTATGTGGCAGGGGCTCCACAGCACAAGCGGCAAGGGGCTGTGTTTGAGCTCCGGAAGGAGAGCAGAGAGACCAACTTTGTACCAGTGCTGGAGGGCGAGCAGGTACTGCTGGAGAAGGACCCCCGCCCCCGTTATTACAGATAGGGATCTGGAGGTCCCAGAGGGAAAGGGGTGGGCTCCAGGGCACACAGTGGGTTGGAGACCCAGCCTGGGCAGAACTCAGGTCTCAGAACTCAGCCTCTGCCCCGGCTCTGCGTGTCTGAGCGCCAGCTGGTTTCCCCCATCGTGGGGGATCAGGCTGTTCACCCAGTCTCCTGTGTTATTCTGGTGAACAAATTGATCTGGTCTGACCCGAAGTTGGTGGCCCAGGAAGAGCAAGAGCAGAGGTCTAGCATTGCTGAGGGCTCTGGCGGTGGCGGCTGCCTCCCCAGCACTCCCTGTGAGCTGTGTTCCCTCTGGCCTGTAGATGGGGTCCTATTTTGGCTCTGAGCTGTGCCCTGTGGACGTCGACATGGATGGGACCACAGACTTGTTGCTGGTGGCCGCCCCATTTTACCACATTCAAGGCGAGGAGGGCAGAGTCTACATGTACCGTGTGAACAAGCAGGTGGGAGAGTCACCATCTTCGCAAGTTGGCTGAGGCTGTGGCTGCTCAGCCTGGGGCCGAGGTGACAGAGGCTGGGAGCGCCCCGGCCCTGCCTTGCACCAGAGGGCGGTGATGGGGAGCTCAGGGTGGATGGCAGCCTGGTGGGGCGACTGCTTCCCTCCGTCCCCTCCCCCACTTTCTTACTTTCCCCACCCCATCATCTCATGTTGATGATGGTGACATCGCAAATAGCTGCACGGTTGACAAAGCACATCCTGTCTGTGATCTCACTTGTTTCTCACAGTACCTGTGGGAGGTAGCTGTTACTCCCATTTTACAGATGAGAAAACTGAGGCTCAGTGATGTTGAAACTTGCTCCAGTTTACAGAGCAAGTGTGTGGTGGAGCCAAGGCGAGAAGCCAGGCCTCCTGATTGCCAGCCCAGGACCCCAATCATGGGAGCAGAGGGTTGCAGCTCTTGGTCCTGGACTGCAAGGCAGGAGGACTCCAGCTTCACCACTCACTCACTGTGCAGACTTGGGAAGGTCTCTTGCCTCTTCTGAGCCACAGGCTCCCTCCCTGCTGGAGAATCAGAATCAACAAGTCCTTGAGCATGCTCCCTGGGGTGGCAGTGGGGTGGGCACCCCGCATCCCTGTCTTGAGGGCTGAGCTGCCTCTCTGCCTTACAGGATGGTTCCTTCTCCTTGGTACGCACGCTGAGTGGCCACCCCAGGTTAACTTATGCGCGATTTGGCTTTGCCATGGCGACAGTGGGGGATATCAGTCAGGATGAGCTCACAGATGTGGCCATCGGGGCCCCCCTGGAAGACTTTGGGGCAGATGGTGGTGCAGGCTTCGGCAGCGTGTACATCTACAATGGACACTCTACCAACCAGCTGGCTGACCTCTCTACCAACCAGCCACAGGTGATCCGCAGGGCTCTCTCTTGCCTCTACTCTGGGACTCTGACCTTCCCCAGATGTGATGGCCTGAGACCCAAGCCAGCTCCAGTCCTAAGTGCCAGGCAGGTCCCAGAGAGTTGAAGGACAGAAGTCACTTGGAGGTTCTCACCTCAGACCCTTCCAGTGGGGCTAGAGGTTGTGGCAACATCCATGTACTTTCCTGACCTGTGACTCCCTCCTTCTTTGGCATTCCTGACCACGGACCTGCCTCAGATCCTCTTTCCTCTCTCTGTCCCTTCTCTGGCTCCCGTCTCCCACCCAACCCCTCCCCCCACCCCAAGCCTAGCTCTCACCCCCCAGGAATCCATTGCCAACTTCCACGCTACATCTTTTATGGGCACTTTCACTCACATCCAGCTGCAGTTTCTCTCCAAGCTTCAGTCCTGTGTGTCCAGCTGCTCCTGAGCCCCTCACCTGGATGGCCTCCAGCATCTCACTCTCAGGATGCCCAGCTGAAAGCAACCTCTTCCCCCTAGACCTGCTGCTCCTCTGAGCCCTACCCCTCCACTGCTCACAGCAGAAACCCGGGCTAATCCCGGACCTCAGCTCAACGCATCAGCCTCTGCCTCCTAAAGATCCTACTGTCTCCCAAATCCAGCCCCTCCTCTCCATCCCCACCACCCCTGCCCTGGCTCCTTCCTCTTCCCCATCTTCCACCCTGTGGTGGAACACCCAGTGGTGTTTCTGAAATGTAGTTCAGAGCCACCCTTGCCTCAGCCCCACATGAGGACTGCTTGTGCCCAGTACTCCCTGTGCCCACTGCACTGACCCCTGACTGTTTCCTGGGACGACCCTACTCTTCCCCACCCCCTGCTGTCCTTACTCTCCCTGTCAAGCCCCACCCCCCTTCAAGCCTCCCTGGGAGAACCTTGACGTTTTCTTTCCAGCTCCTCGGCTGATGGCTCCCTGGGGTGGGGACAAAGGGTAATCTGCTGATTGAATTAAACCAAAAGGAAACCCCTTTCCGTCCCTGACACCTTGTGTTTCTCCATCCACAGAGGATCAGAGCCTCAGTGGTGGCCCCAGGACTGCAGTACTTCGGCACGTCGGTGGCAGGTGGCTTAGATTTCAGTGGCGACGGCCTTGCTGACATCGCCGTGGGCGCTCTGGGCCGGGCGGCTGTGCTCCGGTAGGGGTCTGCTGTGGCAGCTTCACCCAGGTGCCCTGCCCTAAGTGACCTCGTGAAGACACCAGGCACTGAGGGGAGGGAGTAAGTGCAGTGGTTGAGGGCGCCGGCTCTGCCCAGCTGGGTTTGAACCTCAGCTTGCACTTAACGGTGTGCCCTTGGACAGAATTTCTAAGTCCCAATTTTCTTATCTATAAATGGGAATAACAGTGCACCTACCTCACAGAGTTATGAGGACTGAGAGGATCTATGCAAAGTATTTAGCACGGTGCTCAGTGATGGCTGCTGTTATTACTATTATTAATTTCAGAGCTTCTGTGCCCCATCCCTAAGTGAGTGATCTAGTCCCATGGCTATAAATAATCTGGCGGGGCACCAATCTGCCCTGTGCTCTCCGCGGAGCTCCAGACTCGGCTGTTTATTCAACACAGGCATCGCAAAGTTACCATGTCTAAAAATGGACTCACCAAAAAAAAAAAAAAAAAAAGTCAAAACCAACCAAACAAAAACAAAACAAAAAAGGGGACTTCTCTGGCGGTCCAGTGGTTAGGACTCGGTGCTTTCGCTGCAGAGGGCGTGGGTTCAGTCCCTGGTCAGGGAACTAAGATCCCACAAACCCCATGGGGCAGCCAAAAAAAAAAAAAAAAAATGGACTCATTCCCACCCGCCCTTCCTTCTCCCCACCTGCCCCTCCCTGGGCTTCCCATCTCAGCAAAGGGTGCCATTTGTTCAGGATAAAAACCCAAGAGTCATCCTTGATTCCTCTTTTTCCTTTCCCTGCCATCCCACCAACAAGTTTTGGTTGGCTCTACCTCCAAAGTACTTCCTAGTAGTTCATGACATTGTCACCACTCGCCTGGACCACTGCCATGGCATCCTTCCCTGCTTTCACTCCCTGTGCTCCGTTCTCCACACAGCAGCCAGAGAGACCCTTTCATTCTGCTGCTCAAAACCCCTCAGTGGTTCCCACTTAGAGTAAAATCGAAATTCCTTACCATGGCCTGGCCCTGCAGACCCCTCCATCCCCACCACTAGTTACTACTCTCTGTCTCACTAATTGTGCTCTAGTTATGCTGACTTTTGTGTTCCTCAAACAAAGCAAACTCATTCCTACCACAGGCCCTTTGTATCAGCTGTGCTTTCTGCCTGTAATGCAGTTCCCCTAGATCTTCACAGAGCGGGCTCTTTCTCGGTAACAGAGCTCAACTTAAATGTCTCCTCATTTGTGAGGCCATCCCTGACCACCAGCTAAGTAGCCCCCAGTCTCTATTACCTTATCCTATTTTATTTATTTCTTTATTTAGTTAGTTATTTTTTGGCCACACTGCGTGGCATGCAGGATCTCAGTTCCCTGAGCAGGGATCGAACCCGGGCCCCCTGCAATGGAAGCACAGAGTCTTAACCACTGGACTGACAGGGAAGTCCCAATCCTATTTTATTTTTATCATAGCATTTCCTGTACATAGGATTTTCCTGTTTCTTCTTGTTTATCTGCCTGTTGTCTGTTTTCCCACTAGAGCAGGGCTTATCTCTTTCCCTGTAGTATCCTGAAGACTCAGAATAGCACTTGGCATAAGCGAGGTGTTCAATGTATATTCACTGAATGAAGGAAGAGCCCAGGCACCGATCCAGAAGTCCTGTGGTCCCTTCTCATGGTCCTCTTTGCTGTCTCGTTTAGCTCAAGACCTGTGGTTCGTCTGAAGCTGTCCATGACCTTCACCCCCAAGGCACTGCCCATTGGCTTCTACAGCAACGTGAATGTGACTTTGTGTTTTGAAATCAGCTATGTGTCCCCAGCTGCTGAGTCAGGTAACAGGCAGCCTAGCTGACCCGTCCAGTGCTGTGGTCAGTCCCTGTTGGCTTCAGTGGGGGGCAGGAAAAGAGGGCTGGGTGGGGGCGGGGTGTTATGAAATCCCTCTGTTAGACTTTAGCTCCTTTGACCTTAGGTTCAATTTAATGGGAACCGCCCCAGAAAAGGGTGATCTGCTGTCAAGTCCACACTCTGAAGGGGTCTCTCTGACCCTGTTGGGAAAAGGGGCACTGGATCCCTTCCTTGGGTTGAAGGGTTGAGTTTCTGAAAGAAGACTCAGAAAAAGGCCGGCACTTCTCCATCTCCACCTACTGTGCCCACGCCTGTGTGTGTGCGTAGGGCTCCCGAGAAGTGCCTGTCCTCCTTCTCCCTGATTTACATCTTCTCCCCTTCCCTGCTCACCGTGTCTCCCTGGCCCAGGGGGATTGGATAACCTGCCGGAGGCCTGGCCTCCCTTCCCATCCCCTTAGTTGGCACTGGTTGGGAGAACTTCCAGAAGGCATGGCTTTCACAGCCCAGGTGCTCACCGCCAACCCAAGAGATCCCCGCCAGAACAACCCCCCAGCAACCGTCCCCAGGGCTCAATCTCTCAGTAACAATCCTGGGGATGTCTTCCTGCAGGTCAGAATGTGCTCTCCCAGGTGGGCTGGCTTTCCTGCAAGAGCCCATGATCAAATCTGTTAATTAGGAAAGGGCAGGCCTATCCGTTCCAGCTGTATGGGCTGAAAGGTTCAGGCCACAGAGCCCGCATGGCAGCTGCTGGGTGGCTGTGTGACACTGGGAGGGCGTCTTTCACTCTCTGGGCCCTGGTTTCTTTTCTCCATAGTGAGGGAGCTGGCCCAGGTAGTCTACAAGGTGCTTCCAGCTCTGCTGTCCTCAGGTTTTACTCTGTGGTTTCTCTCTCCATTCCTTGACTTTTTGCTCCTCCTCATTTCCCCCCTCAATCCCAGCCTCCTCCCTAAGCGCTTCTTCCCCTAGGGAAGACTGACTCAGCCCCTGGGATGTGCTGCTCCAGGTTTGGGGCTGGTGCACTGAGGGACCCTAGCTGGGTGCCAGAAGACATGAGAAAAGTACCTTTGAAATGAAGAAGAAACTTGGGGAAGTGCCTACGTGGGGGCACCACTCAGGAGGGACTCATGGGAGTCTGGCCCTCTGTCTGGGGCTTGCCCATCCCAGTCTCATCAGGAAGACCTGGTCTTCATTCCCAGGCCTCAAAGAGACCTCTCTGAACTTCACTTTGGACGTGGATGTGGTGAAGCAGAGGAAAAGGCTGCAGTGTTCAGATGAGAGGCTGTGTCAGAGCTCCCTTAGGGAGTGGGGCACGGGCCCCCGTCTCTGTGAGCCCTTCCTGCTGGTTCCCACAGAGGGAGAGGTAAGTGGAGGAGTTTCCAAAAAAGTCTAGAGGGGCCTGTAGAGAAAAGAACTGAGGTGCATGCAATGAAGCAAACGTACCCGTACACACAAATGAGGCAACTGAAATAATCAGAATAGATTAAGAACCGGATGATGGGGGAATTCCCTGGCGGACCAGTGGTTAGTACTCTGTGCTTTCACTGCTGAGGGCCCGGATTCAGTCCCTGGTCAGGGAACTAAGATCCCACAAGCAGCACGATGCGGCCAAAAAAAAAAAAAAAAAAAACCACATGATGGCATGGGAGGTGGGAGTTATGGTACCAGAAATCCAAATTAAAGAAACCTACCGAGGGACTTCCCTGGCTGTCCAGTGATTAAGACTCCTCACTTGCGCTGCAGGGGGCGTGGGTTCGATCCCTGGTTGGGGACTAAGATCCCGCATGCTGTGCAGAGTGGCCAGAAAGAAAAGAAACCTACCGAAATTGAACGCTGAGTAGATCTCTGAGCTTCCTAGAAACTGGACAAAGAGGGAAATTCTCTAATTGCTGACATTTTTCTTGGTAATAAATTGGGAATAACAGGGCTCCCTCCCTCACCTGATAATAAAAGTGGGGCAGAGGTCCCTTGCGTGAGTCAACATCAGAAAACCTGAACGAGAGAAAGTAGAAAGAGAAAGACAAAAGTTGTGATTTACAAAAGTTTACTCCTGACTAATGTGCCTAGAGACATGAAAGATGTATTTGTCAGGACCCAGAGCCTGACAGGACCCAGAGTTGTGGACCTAAAAGGATCATTTAGTCCAATAAACTCGTAAATTATGCTTCTGAATACACATCTGTTCCCATGTGTGTTGATTGTTAAATGGATTAAGAACGAGTTTCTAGCAAATCTATGGCTTCCTTAAATACAAGCATAACTACCTTTTCCACCTGGGAATCGTGCTCACCTACTCTCAGGTGTTCAAAGCTCCCACCTGGCAAAAAGGCTCAATAAACAGAGAATGGCAAACAGCATCCCAGCCCATCTCCTGGTCTTCAGTTTTTATTTCTCTAGTATATCCTCCATGTTGCTTGGAGAAAGATCTTTGTAAACACAGATGTGACCGTGACTCTTCCCTTTCGTGGCTCCCCTTTGTACTCTGAATAAAACCCAGGCCAGTTTTTAACTCCTAACGGCCAGAATCCCGTTGTGATTGGGGCAGGAACCATAAGGAGTTACGGTGCCCGAGGCCATGGCAGATCAAGGGAGATTTTCCCAGTGCTCTTGGCAGCCGGGCCTGTTTGGAAGAGGCTTCGGAATCCTGGCTTACCACTTTCATTGTTTATTTCTTATTGTGACTGCATCAAAGTTAAAAGTATTCTCCTTGTCATCTTCTCCCCCACATCCAACTCCAACCCTGCATTCCTTGGTGACTCTGCAGCTCTGTCAGGAGGACTGCTTCTCCAACATCAGTGTCAAGGTCAGCTACCAACTCCAGACCCCCGAGGGCCAGAGGGACCATCCCCAGCCTATCCTGGACTTCCATGCTGAGCCCTCTGCCATCTTCCAGGTGACTCAGCTCGGACCAGACTCTCCTGGGAGCCATCCCCCTAAAAGTACCTGCTCCCCTATCTTCAAAGAATGTTAAAGTTGGGAGGGTCTTCAGACAGCATTTAGGCCCCTCACTGTACAAACGAGGATATAGAGTTCCTGAGATGGTGTTAATTTGCCCAGGACCTCACTGGTGGGTAATACACGTCTCCAAACCACCCCCAAGGCTCGTTCTTTTATGTTCACAAAAAGTGCCTGCTACGTATTTAATGAAGCATATGAATACACTGCCCACCTTGGCAAGAGTCTCTGATAACGGTGTGGTGAGGGTCCTGTGTGGGGACTGGACTGGAGCCCACCTGCCCCGCGCTGCAGAGAGGATGCCCTTTGGCATACCTGCCTGCCCAGGTCCTGCCCAGGCCTTCAGGCTGAATGGCCCACCAGACCTATACCCTAGCAGATGGATAGTGTCACAGAAAACTTTTCTCATAACTACAGGAAATGAGAGAGGGAAAAAAAACAGTAAAATTTCTTGATTCTATGATATCTAAGGAGATTTTGTTCCCACTCAGGCCCTGGCCCCCTGGGGTATTCTGTCAGTATTCATTTAGACAGTCTTATGGGGTACCGAAAAATCAGCAGGATCAAAGAAGTGATAACATGAGCATTGAAAAGTAATAATTACAGTTAGCTGGAATGCATTGAACCTCCAAAAATAAAAATAAGCCAAAAGTAGTTCATGCTGGCACAGAAAAGCTTCAGGTAGCAGAAGTATATTTCTAGGTAATCATAGGACACTCACAACTGTCCAATATTTGTACAAGAATGCTCTATATTAATTCAGTTATGTAAGCCTTCAGCTCCAGTTTTGGTTAACACCCAATGCATCAGTCACGAATGGTAAATAGAAATAAGAGAACAACATAACCAGGGTGACTGTTCCTATCGCTCGTCTGCCCAGGAAGAGGGAGGATCAGGTTCCCGATGAGCAAAGATTCTCATTTTAATTTTTCAGGCAAATTTATTCTAAATTTATAGTAGTATATTAATTTTCTAAATTTTTAAAATTTGGCATTGACACTTAGATAGTTCAGAAAAGACTGGGAGAACTAATAATAAAGTTTTGTCAATAAGCGGATTATCACTAATTATGTATATTCTGTTTTAAGAAAACTTTAGTTTGAAATATTTTGCTTACTAAAAAGTTAGAATTGTCCAAAGAATTCCCATCCTTTATCCAGATTCCCCAAATGTTAACATTTTAACCTCTTATCACATTTGCTTTATTCTCTGTCTCTCTCTCTATATATATACAAAATCTCATATATATCTTACATATATACATATGTAGTCTCAGAAATTTATATTTCTGAACCATTTGAGAGTTAGTTACAGATATGATGCGTCTTTACTCCCAATACTTCAATATGTATTTCCTAAAAAACAAGGACACTGTCTTACATAACCACAGTACAATGATCAAAATCGAAATTTACAATGAAGAAATACTATAATCTACAAGCTTTATTCAGATACCACCAGTTGTCCTATTAATGTCCTTTTCAGCAAAAGAAAAAAAAATTTTTCTGGACCAGGATAATTCATTACTTTTGTTTAGTCTCCTTTAATCTCGAATAATTTCTCAATCTTTCTTTGTCTTTAATGACCTTACATTCTTGAAGGGTACAGGCCAGTTATACTGTAGAATGTTCCTCAACCTGTCTTTGTCTGATGTTTCCTCATGGTTAGATTCAGGTTATGCATTTTGGGCAGGAATATCCCAGAAATGAAGTCTCACCCCTCTAAGTGCATCGTATCCGAGGCACATCATGTTAATTTGTCCCATTCCTGGTGCTATTTCCCTTTGTAATTAATAAGTATCTTATGGGGAGATGCTTTGAGACTATGCATATATCCTGTTTAGCATCCATTCAGGATTCTTACCTTAATTATTAGTTTGATGGTTTGGCAAAGAGCTTTTAAAAAAACTATCCCACTGATAAAATGGATGAGGAGAAATGATTTGGTGTTAGGTTAGGCACATAGATGTTTCCAGAGAATGAGTTCTAGCTGGGAGCTTAGGGTGTTATAATCGTGCTGAAAGAGAGCAGGCTGCTTGGCTGTATTAAAAACAAAACTAAAGAAACCTGCCCCCAACTGTTGACCCAGTCAGATAGAGCTCCAAGCTCTGACTCCTGTGAACTGCATCTCCCTTCTCTGGGAAGCAGAAGGTTTTCTTTCTAGCTCTGGGCTCCCATTCTAGCTCCAGGTCATGGAAACAGTCCTTGCTGCTGTTTAATAAAGCTGCTGCGATGGTCACTGGCTGCTGGGAAGATAAATGCAGAGATTCCCCAGTTAGAGAGCTGGCTGTGGTTCCTTCAGAATAAAAAAATAGACCAGCTCCTTTAGAAAACTTGATTTTTCAGCCTGAGCTGGAGCTTTTCAACCTTGACTGGGCCTTTTGGACCCAGTGCGACTTTCTGAATTTGTTTGGTGTAGGCAAGATTGCAAGGTGGAATATTTAACCTACAGAGAAGACTAGCCATGGGGGTAGAGGGCCGCACAGGACTGGACCTTGACAGTATTTGGTTATTTGCCCCCTTTTGTCCCCTGCTGTTGCTGCTCTACTTAAGAGGACTAAGGAAGCTTTTCTTCACCTGGGTTTTCCTCCCCCAGATGTTCAAAATAGTGAGTTGTGAGCGTTGCTGCTTAATTAGCATAATATGAAAGTGACAGGCATTCCCACCGTTTCACAAAGGTCACCCCATTTTTGACCTTGGCCAGTGGCCTGACGCATGGTACCTGTGTTGTAGGACCGACCAAGCACATCCCCATCCCTGACAAGCCAAGGAATGTCACAGTCACAGCTCTCACGGCCTTGTGGACACAACCCCAGCCTGTCAGCCTTCACCTGCACTTCTCAGAGTCAGCAGGAGGGACAGGAATGTGCTAAGGAGATCATGAAGCAAGGCGGGGATGGCGGGGTCCCTGGGCTGATCCTGCCTCTCTCTGTCTGGTTACAGCTGCCCTACGAGAAGGCCTGCAAGAATAAGCTGTTCTGTGTCGCTGAGCTGCAGTTGGCCACCACCCTCTCTCAGTGAGTTGAATCCAGTCGTCAGGTTTTCTGCAGTTAGCTTCCTCCTGAAGGCTTACCTGGGCAAACCCCTCACCACGACGGACCGCTCACTTCCTCCCCCTTCCCCTCATGGCCCACAAAGGGCTTCTGCACGTATTATCTCTTGCTTCCCCACCCACCCAGTGAGGGAGGCAAGACAGAAATTTGTATTCCTATTTTATAGATTAGGCAGCAGACTCAGTAGTTGAGGGCCTGTGTGGGGTCACATGATCATTGGGTGGACTTACACCCAGGTCTCTGGACATCCCGGACAACGCTATTTTTGTTAACTCAGTGTCTCTCACTCCTAGGACCACCTCAGTTAGAGGTAACCTCTTCCCTGGCTCACCTCTTAACCAGATTACTTAATTCATTGCATATTTATGGAGCATCTCCTCTGTGCCCAGCACTCTAGGTGCTAGAGATACATCAGTAAACAACACACAAAAATCCCGGCCCTTCTGGTGCTTTTAGGGGGAGAAGATAATAAATAAGTCATCTTTGTGTTGATGAGATGTATCAATACTATGAAGAGAAAGAAGGCAGGGAAGGTGGGACGGAATGCCGGGGGGAGGAGGGGTGGCAGTTTTAAATAGAGTGGTCAGGAGAATGTTCACGGAGAAGGTGACATTTGGGTGCATGCAAGAGGAAGTGGAGGAATGAACTCTGCGGGTGTCTGAAGGTAGAGCACCTGCAAATGCCCTGGAGATGGGAGGAAGAGCCAGGACACCAGCATGGTTGCAGTAGATGAGGGAGGGAGAGGTCACGTGAGGGGAGGAAAGGTCATACGTGGCTGCATCTCCATGAGGACTTTTACCGCGAGCTGAGAAGTCAGAGGAATGACATGACCATGCACTTCAACAGGATCATTCTTGCTGCTGTGTTGAGAGTAGACTGTAGGAGCAAAGGTGGGGGCGGGGCAGTAGTAAGGAGCTATTGTAGTAACTCGGGTGAGAAGTGAGTTAGGCCAGGATGGTAGCAATGAAGGTGGTTATAGTTTGAAGTTAGAGCCCACAGGATTGGATGACAGATTGGATGTGGGGAGTGAGAGAAAGAGAGAGGTCTAGGAAGTCTTTCAACGCTTCAGCCTGAGCATCTAGAACTGTGCTGTCCAATACAATAGGCTCTGGTCACACTTGGCTATTTAAATTGAAATTAATTAAAATTAAATTTTAGTTCCTTAGTTGCACTAGGCCCATTTCATGTGCTCAGGATCTGCATATGGCTAGTGGTATTAAACAGCACAGAATAGGTCATTTTCATTACTGCCAAAGTTCTGTCGGACCACACTGCATTCTAGAATGATGGTGATGTCAAGAACTGAATTAGGGAAGTTTTTGGAAGAATTGGTTTGGAAGGCAGGGTGGGGAGGAAGAGATCATGGGTTTGGTTTTGGACATGTGGTGGTTTTAAAATGCCTTCCCTGACTCCTAGTGCTGTGTGTGTAACATGGCACTGATGGCCAGCTGGCCGGAGTTGGCATCTCTGGGAAAGAGCACTGTTCTCTGAGTCCTGGTAAGCCTTCTCATAGACATTTGCAGAACTTGTGTTTCAGATGTGGATGGCTTAGCGCTGCCCCTCTCAGTCACTAAGGATCCAATTCAAGGCTTTTGAGTGCTTTGGAAGCCAGCCTAACAAGGAGACGCAGTTGTTTCTAACAGGGAATTAATTACAGCCGAGAAAGTCCTCCCAGCCACGTCCTTGTGAAGTAGACAGTGAAACAGCTGGCCCTACATCACCCCCTAGTGTTCACAGCCAGCAGCCTCTTCTTTTTTCAAAAGTATTGAACCTAATCCTTAGCAACCAAATGTCTCAATGGCTTTTGACCTTTTTTGTGGACATGGATCTCCTAAAGAATCTAAGGGAGACTACAGAGCTTTCTCCCTAGAAGATCACACTTGCATACATTGGTGTTTGCATTTGGGGCCCTCTGAAACTGCCCCGGCCCTCAGGTTGAGAACCCCTGGTAAATATTCCAATGACTCTCAGATCTCTCTCCTGGGCTCTAGAAAAGGATACCTTACTGACATGTCAACATCTCTGCCTTCCTATCCTCTGGGCACCTCTCATCATGCCCTGGACTGAACCCATCTGATCAACTTCCGCCCTCTGGTCTTCCCCCTGTGTTCTCTCCCTCATGACTAGCCCCACTCGGTCATCCAAGCTGGAAACTCAGGAGGCATCCTCGACTCCTCTCTCGTTTTTGTGCTGCCTGCAAGCACGGCCTTATCACCTCTGGTTTCTACCCCCTCCCCATCCCCACTACTACTGTCTGATTTCAGGCCTGTATCATCTCCCAGATGGATCCCCACACAGGCTCTGCCTCTGCCCCCTCTAGCCCTCCAATCTATCCTTTTCTCAGCTGTGATAAAAACAAAAACAACACAACAAGACACAGGTCACATTACTCTCGAGAGCTGCACATTCCATCTTTGAACCTTTCAGAGGGTTAGAAAGTTTTCTTTGTTGTTAATATGTTTCCATGTAGGTCTCAATTACTGAGGGGCCCCATGGTGCCTCAGCGGATGGAAAGAAGCACTTACACGTCCCCAAGTCTTCTCCAGGCTGAAGAGATTCATGTTTTGACCCACAGTCTTTAAATTGGAAGGGCCGGGATGATTTTGTGGGTGGGAAGGCTGAGGCCAAGACAGGGGCAGGGGCAGCATCTGTCCCCCATGTGCTATTTCTCCCACGTCGAGCAGCGTGTCTGGCACAGAGAAAGTCTTCTGTAAATGTACGTGAGATGGATGAATTTGTGTCACGAAGTACGTTGCCTGGGGTCACAGTGCGTTGGTGGTTGAAAGAGGGTTTAGATCCAATTCTCCCAACTCCCTTTTGAGGCTGCTGGACCTCAGGCAAGTCAGTTAGCCTCCCTTGGCTTCTGATCCCTTCTCTATAGAACAGATAGCAACTGTACTATTTCATAGGGTTATTACGAGGATTAGCTGAGCGTGTGAAGCATTTAACACAGTCCTTGACACATGGTAAACATTACATGAATGGTCCTGTCACACAGCAGCTGAGGTATGGCAGTCCAGATGTTTGCTTATGTTGAGGGGAAGAAAATCTAGGCTAAATGTATCCTTTAAGCAATTTATCTAAGGAGTTAGTTTAAAAGGTGCTGTTGTATTGCACTGAGGTTTGTACAGATTAAATAAACTGGTAACATTTATCTATTTGCCTACCCTGTGCAGGCAGGAATTGGTGGTGGGTCTCACAAAGGAGCTGAGCATGAACATTAGCCTAACTAACTCTGGGGAAGATTCCTACATGACAAGCATGGCTTTGAATTACCCCAGAAACTTGCAGTTTAAGAGGATACAAAAGGTAACTATGACAGCGTTTGGGAACCACACTGCTCGTGGCTTTCCCTTCTGGCATACTTGCTTTGTTATGGCAACCTCCTAACTCTGCCTCCGGCCTCACCCTGGTCCATCCACTAAATGATTATTAACTAGATGGATTCCCGCCCCCCTCTAATCCAACCATATGCCATGGATCCAATCACGTCATTCTCTGCTTTAAAAATCTTCAATGGTGCTATTTTGCTGCCTAATCACTCCTTTTGCTTGCAGCCTTTTTTTTTTTTAATAAATTTTTTTTTTTTTTTTTTGCGGTACGCGGGCCTCTCACTGTTGTGGCCTCTTCCGTTGCGGAGCACAGGCTCCGGACGCGCAGGCTCAGCGGCCATGGCTCACGGGCCCAGCCGCTCCGTGGCATGTGGGATCTTCCCGGACTGGGGCACGAACCTGCGTCCCCTGCATCGGCAGGCGGACCCTCAACCACTGCGCCACCAGGGAAGCCCCTAAATAAATTTATTTATTTTATTTATTCATTTTTGGCTGCATTGGGTCTTTGTCACTGCACGCGGGCTTCCTCTAGTTGCGGTGAGCGGGGGCTACTCTTCATGCAGTATGTGGTCTTCTCATTGCGGTGGCTTCTCTTGTTCTGGAACGTGGGCTCTAGGTGCGCAGGCTTCAGTTGTTGTGGCACGCGGGCTCAGTAGTTGTGGCTCACGTGCTCTAGAGCGCAGGCTCAGTAGTTACGGCACACGGGATTAGTTGCTCCGTGGCATGTGGGATCTTCCTGGACCAGGGCTCAAACCCGTGTCCCCTGCATTGATTGGCAGGCGGATTCTTAACCACTGCACCACCAGGGAAGTCCCCTTGCAGCCTTTCTTAACTAGAGTTCTGAGAGAGAAATAATCTCTAATAAAGTAGCTTGGACTGGAAAGTAAGAGTCTGCTTGGCCTTTCATCAGCCTGGGATCACAGACTCAAAGCCAGCTGCAAGATACTAGGAAACAGTATTTCTTCCAAGAACACCCTGCAGCTGTAAAGTATTGTAACACTGAGAAATTTTGTTCCCTAAAATCATAGGCAGTCAGAAACTTTGCTGTTTGAAGTTTTATCTGTAATTATGAAACCATCTTACTCTTGCCTGGAGAGTCTAAGCCACTTTGACAAAGAGAAGCACTTTTATTTTCCATCTGAGGCTTGGAGCTTCAGATAAAATGTTTCTGGACATAACTTTTCACATTCACCTTAATAGTTTCCAAGGACATGGGTCCCTGAGTCCACTTTGCAGTCCAGACCTGATGCTGAGTGGCCTTTTACACACAGCCCTGCTTTGTTTTAGGCCTATCAAAACACTGCTTTGTTTACATTTCCCCTGAACTCCACCTTTCCCCAGAATCCTTTAATAACCGTCTTTTCCTTTGTTTGGTGAGATACACCACAGTGCAGTTTTCCTCATTGTAATGAGTCAGCAAACCTGGCTTTGTCGTACTACGACTGTGTCCCTAGTGGTCTGAGGCTATCTGGGCTAAGACAGCATCCATTACATGAGAAGAATGCCATGATCTCCTAAGCATCTAGAATGGAACTAGATGCAGCATCCTTGGGAGAATTAAGAAAATAGTAGTTACTCAAGTCATTTTCTGTATTCAGTGGTCTGGATGAGGAACCATGGCTGAAAAAGGCTGCATGGCAGTGCTTGGGCTCATGCTGGCCTTCCAGCCTGGCTCAGTACATGAAATCTGCATTGGTCCAAGGCCCAGTTCAGATGTCTCCTTCCCCATGAAGACTCCTAGTTGGACCTCATCTTTCTCTACTGCTTTTCTCTGTACTGCTCTCACAGAACCACTCCTTAGGCCTTGTATTTAAATTCCTCAACCATCTAGCATTGAGCCCTTACTGCCCAGCTTGTGAGGGAGACAAGGACAGAGTCTGATTTATTTGTGTCCCTTGCTCCTGGCAGGGTGTCTGGCATGTTGAATTGGTGTGAGGAAACTGCTCCTTTTTTTGCCGTTTAAAATCAATGTCAAAAACGAAACAAAACAAAAACAACGTCTTTTATGTTAACAGCCTCCTTCTCCAAACATTCAGTGCGATGACCCTAAGCCAACTGCTTCTGTCCTGGTCGTGAACTGCAAGATCGGTCACCCCATACTCAAGAGGTCATCTGTGAGTCTGTTTTGATTGGCTGACTCTTCTCACTACCCTGGGATTGGTGTCTTCTACTTCCCAGTCTCATTAGAATCTCCGTTGCAGTCTCCACACTTCTCTTAGAGTGCTCAGAGCGGCCAAGCGTGCTTGAAAGTGGGGAGTGGTGGGGGTGAGGGATACAGCCACAGATAAATGGTTGACACACCCCAGTACAGCACAGTGAAGCTGGGTGCAGTATGGAAGGAGCATCAGACCCAAAGTTATGAGTCCCTGATCTGCCACTGATGATCTCTGTGCTGTGGGAAATCTCTGAAGCAGCTTCCTCAACTGTAAAGGGGAATAATCCTGTCTGCCCCACTTACTCCATCTTGACATTGTGAGGCTTAACGTGGAATAACCGACCTTGAAGCATGCTGTGCTACAAAAACATGAGTATGAATTATGTTTCCCAGGTCTGTTTAGTTAGTAGGAAGCAGTTTGAGTTGTGAGTGGTATAAAGGGGAATCAAGTGACCTTTTTTGTTTGTTTAAACAGGCAAACTTTTCATTAGTTTGGCAGCTGGAGGAGAGTGCCTCTCCAAACAGGACAGCCGACATCACTGTGACAGTCACCAAGTAAGTAATGCCTGTGTCACAGCAGGCCCAGCCTGTAGCCCTGCAAGAAGCCTCCCTCCCATGTGCGTGCATAATAGCTCTGGATCCCTCACTGCCCAGGAAGGGGAACCTCAGTGAGCCCTGAGAAGGCACGTGTGTCCCTGCTGTGACTTGGCTTTCCCTTCTTGTTATCGAAGATATTTAAAATGTTCTTTTACTGACAAAGTGAAACTATGGTATGGTCTGGAAGAATGAGCTTTGGACTGGAGCTCTAATTCTGGTTCATTTAACTTCAGAGAAGCTCTGTCTCCTGCAAAACCTCTATGTTTGGGGTAGAGTCGGGTACGGTGTTGGGAAAATTCTCAAACAGGGGTGATTCTGCCCCCAGGGGCAACGCCCGAAGACACTTGACTGGCACCACTTGGGGCGGGTGCTACTGGCATCTAGTGGGTAGAGGCCTGGAACATTGCTAAACATCCTACAATATACAGAACAGCCTCTCACAAAGACTTATCTGGCCCCAAATGTCAATATTATCAAGGTTGAGAAACCCTTTTAAAATCAGTTTCTCTAAGTATGGTCTTCTAGAGCGTCTTCTGCACTCTAATTGCTTATCTCCCAGAGTCTTTTCTGTCTGACCCCCAGTGATCCCAGGAAGCCAAGGTAAGAAGCCATGTGTACAAAGCAGGTGTGCTGTAAACTGACATTCTTATTTCCTAGTTCCAATGAAAGAAGGTCTCTGGTCAGTAAGACCCACAGCCTTCATTTCAAACATGCCTTCATTGCAGTTCTTCCCAAGTAAGTACTTCCAAGGGGCCCACACCTGCGGGACAGCTTCAGGCATTTTCTCTTGTGGGTGGAACTTGTGGTCAGGGTAGATGTGGGCATTGCCCTTCCCTGAAAGGAGGCTGCTTAGAACCCAGGCGCCCAATGACGTCTAGGGCACTAACAGTTGGGTCCTAGAAACCCCATGGTCATAATCAAAGGAGGAGCAGTGCCAACTGGTCTTGATACAAAAGGGAACTGATGTGATGCTAAGGAGGGAAGAGAGGGGCTATGGGATTGGGAAGAAAGGAAGGAAAAAAGTAAGGCCACTCTAAGGCATTATAATTAGATACAGAACCAGCCCAAATATACAGAATTCGAATATTCTAACCTGATCCCAACTGCCCTACCACCACCTTACATTTTGATATTCAGCTTTGATCCCTATTAAGGATCAGGTGCCCTCTGTCCTAGTGTATCCAATTGGTAGCACTGAGGTTTTTTAAAATGAGAAAGGGGCCTTGAGGCCTAACCCATGTCCTCTCAAATGCAGACCATCAGTGACGTACATGAACACAAGCCAGGGGCTTTCCCAGCACAAAGAGTTCCTCTTCAATGTAAGTGCTGTGCTTGTCATTGCAAAGCCACAGGTGGCAAAGCAACACCAGCCGTGACTTCCCGCTCTGATTTATTTTGCAGATACATGGGGAGAACCTCTTTGGAGCCGAGTTCCAGCTGCAAATTTGTGTTCCAGTTAAATTACAAGGTTTCCAGGTCATAAGAGTGAAGAACCTGACCAAGACTCAGGTACATAGAGGCGGTTCTATATCACCATCACATCTCTTTCCAGAGTGACTGTGGATTCTCAAAGGTATAAAAACTAGAACTCTAGAAAAGGAGTAGAAAAAGATTAGTTAAACTGGGAACACATTTTAGGAGTAAATTACCAAAGTCATGTTCACAAGGAATATTAACCACTCAGCCCTTAAAACGACATTCCAGTTTTTCTTCCCTTGATGAAAAAATAAGCAAAATTCAAACGTTTTGAGTAGCCATGGAGAAATTTATTTTCCATTTGAAAATCATCGATAAATTCTGCTTCTCTTTGTGACTGGCAAATGAGCTTGATAAACATGTGGCATTTCTCGCACTTCTCCCTATAAACTGCCTACCATCTTCCTTCCTGCTTGCCTTCCAGTCTGTCTGCCTAGGACTCTGCTCTGCTACGGCCTCTTTGCTCTCAGCTGGGTCCTCGTCTGTCAAAGTCAGCCTTATGACACCTACAGCAACAGGCTCTGATCGGTTTGACAGCTGAGGCCTTGGGCTTTCCTTTTTTTTTCCTGCTCAGGCTACATAAAGTGTCAAGGCTCAAAAAGGAAAATGTGGAAAGGAATTTACAAAATGGAGTCTGCTGACAGAAAGAGGGCTTTTCAGTTGTAAACACTTGTTCTCATGTATAGTTTATTTTTAAAGAATATTTGTTAAGTTTAAACATTTCAACAAACATTTCAGCTTCCACTTGGAAACAAAATTCTTGTTTGAAAAGCTGATTGGAAACCTGTAAGAACAGGAATCCCACCCTGCTGTGGGGATAGAGGTTAAAAACGGCATCAGGGGCTTCCAGACCTGTGCCCTCTCCTTTGGGAGCGGTCAGCAACCCCAGCTTACTTAAACAGACTGTGCTGGCAGAGCAGGTCTGTGGCAGAGCTGAAGTTCAACATAGTCTGATGGAAATGCTTGATCTTTCTCCTTATTTTCCTCAAGGCAGGGGTGTTACCTTTGCTCTTGAAGGTCATTTGTTTCAGGATCTTATCTGTGAGGTAGTGTAGCCAGAGCACGTTGTTATAAGGGTGATATTCGTCCCAGCAGTTGTTGTTTTCCTTCCTCATCAGCCTGTAGATCTCAAACTGGTAGTCACCTTCTCCTGTAAACAGGTCTTGGTCCATGGAAATGTCACAGAAAACCACGATCCCGTCCCGCTCCAGGCGTGACAGGGTGTAGTCGATGATGTTGACCTGTAGCCCTTGGGTGGGGATGGAGCTCGTCTTCCCATTGAGGGTGTAGTGGAGCTCTTTGAGGCTGGTTTTCTTTAAGAGCACGTTCCCCCAGTGCAAGTCTCGGTGCTCAAAGTTCAGCGATGCCTCTGCCACTGCAAGGGACGCAGTGATCTGGTGCAGAATGCTCTTTGCAGTGGCGATGGAGGACAGCTTCGTTCTCATTTGCTCTAAGTCGATCCCTCCAAACTCAAATTCCAGCACGATGAAGAGCTGGTCTTCCTCAAAAAAGTCAGGCCGGTCATTTGCAGACCCTTTGGTTGAGTTATAGCGATCCCAGGCCTGGAGGAGCAAGGGAGGGTAAGATCCTTGAACACAGCGTACCGAGTTCAGCCCAATGAAGCCTTCTGTACGGTTGCATACCTCATCAGACAAGAGGCTCAACTCTTTGGAGATGATGATCTCTGGCAGGATTTCCTCAAAAGTTTTCTGATGAGCTCCATTGACTAACTTCTGTCCTTCAATAGCAATGATTTTTAGGGCTACAGGTGTGTGGTTAGCAACTGTTTGAAACACTTCGCCAAACACCCCTTCCCCAATCTTCTCACAGCATTCCAGTTTTTCTGAGGAAAGGCAGTCGCTGAAGGGGACAGGACCCTCCTGACTGCATTCCCCATAAACCTTTTCTGCATCGGATGCCTTTTTGTCTGTGGCATGTAGTGTCTTTAAGGGGGTGAGCAAATACATGGAGGAGAAGTGCCAAGGGTACAGGGCACTGTTTGTTCTGTTTGTGACAGGAAGGTTTGAATATTCTGATATGAGGGACTCAGAGAGAGAACTGGCAATGGTGTAGATGCTGCACACTTTTGACACAGAGGTCACCATCTTCTTCTTGTGCAAGCTGAAGGAGGCCCTGGCTTTGGTCCAAGAGCAGGCATTCTGTAAACGAGTCAGGTCCTGGGTGACGAATGAATCTTTTTCCATCTTTTGGCCTTTTTTAAAGTGGTGGTGATGGTGGAGGGAGGTTTCTGCTGTCTCTTGATACTTCCTTTTCCGGCTTGGCCCGGTTCTCTCAGGCCTGTTGCTTTTCCCAGGTGCCATACCGCGCTTGCACCCACGGGCCTCCCCGTATTCTATCTGGACAGCCTCCTGAGACCCGGCCTCTCGACCGGAGTCCTGGTCCGTGGCCCTCTGCTTACCCGTGCTGTGTGAACCTGGGCTCTCCAGCCTCCTCCTCACCAGTTCCCTGTCACAGCAGGACTCCCGCATATTCTTCCCATCTGGCCCAAGCTCAGAATCCTCAGGATTTCCTGAGTCCAAAAAGCTACAGAGAGCTGACCTGAGGCCGGCACGGGCTTCGTGGGCCAACCTGCTGAGCCTGCCTCCTGCTGTCTCTGCCTCCTGGGAACAGGGGAGAGGCTCCTGGTCCAGGGAGGCTTCTGGGAGGTGGAGGCCGCTCGGAGCTTCAGAGGCTGCATCCAGAAAGACGGAGGGGTCGGTACAGATGCTGTCTCCTGGCACAGGGGACCCGGGGCCGGGAGAGGCCGGAGAACTCAACAGGGAGGCACTGGTGCTCAGCTCGCCGCCGTCCCTGGGCTGGCCGCACACACTGAGGTCCGGGCTCAGGAGGCCCGGGTGGCCGTTGGGGAAGGGCGGCGGTCCGAGCGGCCCGCAGGGGGTGCTGCACTTCTGCGGGCACCGCGGTCGCAGCCTCAGGCGTCTCGGGGTCGCGATCAGACTCGGCCGGTCCTTGGAGAGTCGGCCGCCAGCGCGCCTCCGCCGCTGACCCACCGGGCTGCCGGGGAAGTCGGGGTCGTCAGGATCGTCGGAGACGGCAGACGGCGAGGGGCCGCCGCCGCTGGCGTCGCTGCTACTGCTGCTGAAGAAACGCTTCTGGTCTTGCGGCGGGAACCACTGCACCGCTGCCTGGCCCGGACGCCGCCGCGGCCCCCCGCCGCCAGCTACCCCATACGTTCTGAAGAGCCGACTCCCGGGTCGCCGGAGTGACGCCGCCATCGCCGACACCCGCCAGGCGGTTCAAATGCAAACACCGCGAGACTTCTTAGAGACGCAGACCCGCCCGCCGGCTCGCCTGCCCGCCGGGTCCTAGCGCCCGGCCTCGCGCCCGCAAATCACGATGGGTCTCGCGGGAAGTGGGAGAGGGCGGATAACTATGGCGGTTTGGGTTTCTCAAGGCGCCGCGGGAATGGGTCTTGTTTCAGGCTCACACTGTGTGCACCCAGAGTCCGGAGCGCGTTTGTGGGAGCGACCGAGTTCAGGTGAGCGCGGTCGTCCGAGAGGCCGGGGCGGGGCGGCAGGGAGGGAGAGGGCCTGAAGCGGGCGACGTGAGACGCACGGATTCTACTTTTCCGAGGTTTCCCCTGAAAGCACAGGCGGGGCGGTCCCAAGGCGCCCCTTAGCCTCTACACGGGGTCCCGTTTGCCAGCGTTGCGGCTTTGCTCGAGCCAAGTGAGCGCAGAAACTGCTCACACCCCCTATTCCGGGACCTAGAGGTGCTCTGTGTGCCAAGTGTTAAAATTCCCGGCTTTTCCACCCGAAGAGGAATTGTGCCAACTAACACACACCTTCTTCCAGCATGTGGAAGAATGGCATTCAGTGAGCTGTAACGTCACCTCGGATAAAGAAAATGTGACCGTGGCTGCAGAGGTCTCCTTGAGTCAATCAGAACAGGTACTTGAGATCTGATTATCCTGCTGTTACCCTAAGAAGGATAATAGCATCTCCAAATATAACATGTCCAAAACAGGTCTCTTGATCCACCTCCTATCCCAACCTGTTGCTTACCCACTTACTCAGGGTTACTAACTAGGGTAACTTATTCGGGTTAGTTACTAGGAATTCTAGGAATTACTTGCGACTCCTTTTCTTACATCCCCGTATCTGTACCAGCAGCAAGCTCCGTGATTCTACCCCCGCCCCCCCCGCCCCCCCCCCCCCGCCCAGTATATTCTAAATCCATTCACTTCTCTCCACCTCCACTGGTACTGTTGTAGTTCAGGCCACTCCTCTTACTGGGTTTATTGCAGTATTCTTCTCTCTGCTCTTCTTGCCTCTGCTTTTGCCATATCCTCTACAAACGTTCTTCATATAACAGCTATGTTTTAAAAGAAAACACTGTGCCACTTATCTGCTTTTAATAAAAGTTTGAATACACTTAGATTAAAATTTGTCTCTTTCAGTGGTGTGCAAGGCACCCTATGATCTGTTCTCTGCTTGCTTCTTCAACTTAATCTCCTAGTACTCGCCTCTTCGCGGCTTTTTTTTTTTTTTTTTTTGCGGTACGCGGGCCTCTCACTCTTGTGGCCTCTCCCGTCGTGGAGCACAGGCTCCGGACGCGCAGGCTCAGCGGCCATGGCTCACGGGCCCAGCCGCTCCATGCCATGTGGGATCTTCCTGGACCGGGGCACGAACCCGCGTCCCCTGCACCGGCAGGCGGACTCTCAACCACTGCGCCACCAGGGAAGCCCTTCCCTGCTTTTTATACTCCAGTTTGCCAATATTGTTCTGGCCACAGGATCTTTGTACTTGCTGTTCCTTTTGCATGACACTGCTTTTCTCATAACTCTTCATGTATGTGGTTTCTTCTTATATTTAACTCACATGTTACCTCTTAGGCCTTACCTGATGACTCATTCAAAAGTAGGGACTAGAGCTTCCCTGGTGGCGCAGGGGTTGAGAGTCCGCCTGCCGATGCAGGGAACACCGGTTCGTGTCCCGGTCCGGGAAGATCTCACATGCCGTGGAGTGGCTGGGCCCGTGAGCCATGGCCGCTGACACTGCGCGTCCGGAGCCTGTGCCCCGCAACGCGAGAGGCCACGACAGTGAGAGTCCCGCGTACCGCAAAAAAAAAAAAAAAGTAGGGACTAAAGTCTAGTTTAACGTCTTGTGATGATCCAGGTGAGAATGATGAGATCTCAGCTGAAGAAGTAGCAGTGAGGATGGAGAAAAAGGGACAGGTGCAAGAGAGGCTAAAAAAAGAATCATCAACAACTGACTTGGGGCGTGTGGTAGGTCAATGAGGGTGTGGCATGAAGTAAAGGATAAGGGAAAAGAAGTTGAGGTGTAACTGCAGGTTTCTTGCTTGGGTAACTTTGTGATTGCTGAGGAAATACTGGAGAAGGAACACGTTTAAAGGGACAGATGAGTGCTGTCCAGGAACAGTAAGTCTGATTTGAATCAACTATACTCCAATAAAATTTTTTTTAAAAGTTAACTAAAAAAAAAAAAGAACAGTAAGTCCATGTCTAAAATGTGTTTCGTTTTTTTTTTTCTTCCCCATCTTATAGTTACGAAGAGATGTGACTGAGCTGCACATCCTTGGTGAAATATCTTTCAACAAATCTCTATATGAGGGGCTCAATGCAGAGAACCATAGAACTAAGGTAATCCCTGGCTGTCTTCTCGTTCTCTGGGTGATGTCCTGGGAAAACTGTGCCTGGCCTCAGCGCCCCTGTACAGACACTTGGCTGTTGCCCTCTTCCTGTTTTAGTCTTATCACCTCTGATCTTGACTCTGCCAGCAACTGCCTCTGTGACCTTGAGTTACTCAGCTTCTGCCTCAGTTTTTCTGTCTCTGAAATGAGGCAACTGAATAAGAGGCCTAAGCAGAGGAAGGCTCAGTTGAAATAACTAGGCTGGAATCAACAGCTATATATACTTTGATTTGAAAATGTATTTTTTTAAAATTTCTTAGGTGAGAAATTTTGGGGGAGGGGGTATATAACAACTCTCTTCTTAGTGTGTGGTATCAGTGTTTAGTTACAATGTTGCACAGTTACAATACTCAGGAATGCATATTTTTTTTTATAAGTCTTAGACTAAGTACTAGAACTCTTGGATTCGTTTTGCAGAAGAATGACTGCAAGTCAGACTGACCTTTGTGATCTGTGGGCCGAATACTGTGTGTGCCACCCTGAGTTGTCATTCTTGTTGACACTCACCTAGATGTGCTGCCGGTGTCAGAGATTGTCCATCTGTGAGCTCTGTAGTTAGGCATGGTTCAGTATCGGAGGGAATGTCAAGAGGGTGAGACTGGATCACTAAACATTAGGTCCTCTGATTTCCTCCCTGGAGGAGGGGAAAGGTGCAGTTCTCCAAACACGTCAGGAAAAACATTTCCTTTTATTTTTAAGTATTTCTGATACAGAAAATGATATGGAAGAAAGAGAAGTACCCCATTATCCCATTGCTCAGACTTTTTTTTTTTAAATAGAAAAGCAAGAAAATCCAAGCCTTACACAAAGATCCCAAGCAAAAAATAATGGTTCCTTTACTTCCCCCTTTCCACACCCCTGATTCCCTCTTCCCAAAGGGAATTACTGTTAACAGTTTCTTACATGCACATTCTTAAATAATTTATGTATAAATTTCCCCCTTTTACTTACTGATGCTTTTATTTCTATAGCATAGAGTCCCCACAGTGATTTTCCTTTTTTAAAATTCAAGACCCCAAGCAAAGTATTTACGTTTCAGCTGCAAGACAGTAGCACTAATGTACCATAAAGGCCTCTGTTGTTTATCCAGTGAGGGAGGCAGACCAGTGTCAATGGGCTGGCCCCTTTGAATCTTGTGCTCTACCCTCCGTGTGCTGGGGACGCCTTCCCTTGTGGCTGCCACAAAGTTGCCACTTTCCACTTCTCCCAGCGATATAGTTTCACATGGCAGTATACAAAATAGGAAGCCAAGAGGTCAGTAGGAAAAGGAGTTTTTCCTCATTTGTCTTCCCTTTTCTTTCCTTTTTTTTTTTTTTGGCTGTACTACGTGTGGCCTGTGGGATCTGAGCTTCCCAACCAGGGATTGAACCGATGTCCACTGCAGTGGAAGCGCAGCGTCCTAGCCATTGCACTGCCAGGGAATTTCAGCCTTCCCTTTTCAAGGACAATTTTCCTAAAAACTCTTAGCAGATAATCTCCTTGTAACTTATTAGTGAGAACTAGATCTCGTGTCAGTCACTGGCAAAGTGGGATGACTTTGTCATGATCAGCTTAGACCAGTCATGACTTCTGAACAAACTAGGAAAGGAGAGAATGGCTGTTGGGTGGGCCACCAAGAGTGTTTTCTACAAGCAGGGGTATTCTGTGTCCTGCTTCTCCCTTCACCTCTACTAGGACACCTTTAGGGCACTTTAGGAACCTGTGGTTTTGGAAGAGGAAAAAAGGAAGAGGCTTTGAGAAATAGTACTTCTACTCAAACCTGACATGTTACATTACTGTCATCTTGGGACTTCCTTTCATTACTTTCTGAAACCTCAGGTTCTCAAGTCTTCTCCCCATACTCCCCGCTGCCCCCACTTTACTCTTCCATGAAGGAAAAAAACAGCTCTCTTCCTGTTCTTCTTCTCTGTTGCGTTGCTCCCTCGCTATTCCCAAGGCCCAGAACTTAAGTTCAGCTTATATGAGTTAAGCAGTGCCTGGAGGGTCAACCCTTGGAAGTGTTTATGACTTAATTGGAAGAGGCCTCAAAGGTAAATTTGTCCAGCCTTCCATCCCATACAGAAATTCTGTCCGAAGTATCCCTGACCTTGGTGCTTGAACACTTGGATGAAGGGAATTCAGTGTTTTGGGCAGGCAGAGGTGTCTTGATGGCCTTCTGGCCATGGTCTGTGTGCTGGGCACAGCTTGGGAGGGCCATGTCTGGGTCTCACTTGGGAAGCACGTCCCCTGGGTTTTCCACTTGAGCCCTGGGATGGCGAGAGCCTCTGGACAGCGATGCTGGGGTGGCTTCTAATGGAAGGGCTTTTCAATAGTACACGTGGACGCCATTTTGCATTTATTACTGTGTCACTGACATTAGTCTGGTGAAGAGCAGACCCTTATCTTTGTCGTGTATTTCATGTCAGAAAATGTCCTATCAGTCATTAGGCAAGATCAAAAAGAGTTGTCAGAACAGAGTTGGAAGGGACTTAGAAATCATTTTGAAGATGGTGAGCTTGGGGCATACCTGGATGTAGAATCTTGATTTTCCGTCTTTCAGTGTTCTTTAAACCCTAGAGATCTTAATTTGTTGGGGCCCTCTATTAAATTGTCAGAGGCTCCTTAATAGAACCTCTCTCTCTCTCTCTCTCTCGCTCTCTCTCGCTGTCTCTCTCTCTCGCTCTCTCTCGCTCTGTCTCTCGCTCTGTCTCTCTCTTGCTCTCTCCCTCTCTCGCTCTCTTGTCTCTCACACACACACAAACAGAAGGTCACAGTCTCCTGGCAGACATAACTCTTCTAGATAAGAGACGAAAATAGTTTGTATAAAATATTTTGGTCATCAGATAATTTTACTGTGCTCTGGTTTTTTTTTTTTTCTTTCGTTTTGTTTTTAGTTTTTGTTTTCTTTGCTTTTCGAGGATTCTGTTGCTATCTGTAGCTCAGAGATTCTTTCCTCAGCCATGTCCAGTCTACTAATGAGCGCATCATAGGCATTCATTTCCTGTTACAGCGGGTTTTCATCTCTAACGTTTCTTTTTGCTTCTTTCTTAGGATTTCCATCTGTCCACTTACATTGCCTGTCTGCTCGTTCTCTTTGTTCATGTGTGCTGACTGCTCTAACCGTTAGAGCCCTTAGCATATTCATCATGGTTGTTTTAAATTCCTGGTCTGATAATTCCAGCGTTCTCGCCGTGTCTGGTTCTGATGCTTGCTCTGTCTCTTCAAGTTGTGTTTTTTTGCTTTTTGGTATGCCTGGTAATTTTCTCTTGGTAGCTGGACACGCTATACCAGGTAAAAGGAAATGCTGTAGACGGACCTTCATGAATGTGGTGAGGTGTTGGGGAGGGGCAGTGTGCTGTCATTCTGTGATTAGGCCTCAGTCTTTTAATGAGCCTGTGCCTCTGGACTGCGAACTTCACCCCTGTTTCTCAGTCTTTTTCAACCCCATTAGGTGGGACAGGATGGCTAGAGTGGGCTTGAGTTGGGTACTTCCCTTCCCCCAGGACAGTTAGGCTCTGATATTACCCAGCAGGTTAGGCTAGTTAACTAGTTTCCCTTGAGGACAGGCCTTGTTAAGATGAGGGTTCTCTGGCTTATTTCAAAATGGTTCCTCTTCCCCTCCCCGTGCTGGAAGCATGAAGGGTTTTTTCTCCAGTGTTTACTGTGGGAACCTGGTCAAGCTCCTGGAGAAAACCTCAGCCCCGCGACTGGGTTTCCTGGAGTTTGTAAGCCCCAGGGTTGTGAGCACTGTGCTTCCAGCAGCCCATCAGTTGCAGTTCAGGTTTTCCTTCCCTGGTGCTGGTGAGCCTCTGCTCTCTGTGTCAGTCTCTGTCTCTCCCTCCGCTCTTGGGGGCAGCAATGTGCCTTGTGGCCTCCGCTCTCTCAGGGATCCAAAAATGGTTGATTTTTCAGTTTGTTCAGCTTTTTACTTGTTAGCATGGAGTGGTGACTCTCAAGCTCCTTACCTGTGGAAGCAGAAACCACAAATCTCATCAGATGATTTTAGGTGCTGTATCAGGAAATGTTTAGCTTTTTGCTTTACTGACATCAGTTTTATTTATATATATATATATATATATATATATATATATGCTAAAAACCATTGGTGTGTACCCTTTTTAAAAAAATTCCATTGGTTTTTATTTATTTATTTATTTTACTTTTGGCTGTGTTGGGTCTTCGTTGCTGCGTGTGGGCGCTACTCTTTGTTGCATTGCGTGGGCTTCTCATTGCAGTGGCTTCTCTTGTTGCAGAGCACGGGCTCTAGGCGTGCAGGCTTCAGTAGTTGTGGCATGTGGGCTCAGTAGTTGTGGTGCACGGGCTTAGTTGCTCCGCGGCATGTGGGATCTTCCTGGACCAGGGCTTGAACCTGTGTCCCCTGCATTGGCAGGTGGATTCTTAACCACTGCGCCACCAGCGAAGTTCCCTGTCATCAGTTTTGATCAATACACCGTATGTTGCCAAGTTCTCACATTTTGCTCCTTCAAATAACGTGGAATTTTTTTCTCATTTTGCCTTACCTGACTTATTGGACGATCTCTTTGTTTTGTTCCAGATCACTGTCACCTTCCTGAAAGATGAGGAGGCGTATTCTCTGTCTCTCGTTATTAAAAGCAGTGTTGGTGGCCTTCTGGTTTTGATCGTGATTATAGTCATCCTAGTCAAGGTCGGTTCCACTCATGTTCGTAAAGGTTCTGGTGTTGGGCACAGTCCTCCTTAGGACAGCCAGCCCCTGACCTAGAGCAGCTTCCCTGGCCTCGTGACCACCTTTCCCTCTTCCTTCAGCCACAGGCCTGTTGAGGCAAATGAGTAAGACAGTTTCTGTCTGAAAAAGATAAAGATCTAACTGAAGAATTGGAGTACCGAGATATTTTCCTAAAACGAACCTGATTGTCGTTCCCCTATTTAAGTCCTTTCCTTTCCTTCCCCTGTTTTGATGTTCAGACTCTTTCACTGCTATTCAAGACCTTCCACTCTGGCCTCTACTTTCTCCACCTTTAAGTCTTGCTTTTTTCTCAACACACTGAACTAAATAGGTTCGTGTCTCTGTGTTTGCAGTTAGGCTCTCTACACCCGTAAGCCCTTTCCTTCTTTTTGACTTGCTCTCACTCTTCCCTTAAAACTCAGCCCAGAGATTCCTGAGTCCTCTGAGCTGAGCTTTATGCTTTTCCTTTGAGCTCCCCTCTAGAAACCCTTCCAAGGGGCAGTCGTCACACTATATTCCAGTTATTTCTCTTCTCACTAGGTTGTGAGTTTCTTGATGTGTAGGAGGCTGTACTTGATCTCTTTCTACCCTCAGCCCAGTAGGCTGAGTACTTTTACATAGATACATGACCCAGTACAGCTGAAACTGAAGTACTTTGCAGAATTAGTTAAGTTAAAAAGGTTAAAGTGCTCTGGGGGTTCAGAGGAAGGTGGAAAATCTCTTCTGACTGGGGACTGAGCACAGGAAAGGCAGTATTTAAGACGGGTCTTGAAGGATTGGGTTATCAGGAGAGATTCAGAGGAAGCAGAGGAGCATGGGGGCTCTTTTGGCAACAACCAGGCAGATGGTTTTCTAAAGCAGATGGTTAGGTTAGGCCTGTAATCGGGCTTCCCTCCCTTTGTTTTAGTGTGGCTTTTTTAAAAGAAAATACCAACAACGGAACTTGGAGAGAATAAGGAAGGCCCAGCTGAAATCAGAGAATCTACTGGAAGAAGAAAATTAGACCAGCTTCCTCATCCATTGGGAGAGAGTACCAACCAGTCCTGGAGACTTCTAGAGACTGGGTGTCATGTGGGTTACTTTTCCTTTAGGATGATCGAGAGCAGAATCTAGCACATTGTTTTGTGGAATGTTGTTTTTTAACCATACATTGTCCCCAAAGTGTCTGTGCATTGTGCAAAAATGAAACTTGGGAGACATTTGGTATTAAATAAAACTGTTTTCTTTACAGAAGTACCTTTAACATGCAAATATAATATACTTTGTGATTCCCGCCCCCCCGCTCCTCAAGAGGAGGTTATGCAGTTATGCAGCATTTCCCAGCCTTATTTGCCTAAGAGTGCTTTTTTCCTGCTGTTTCTGTTAACATCTTCCAAAATAGTGTTCCGCGAAGTATATCTTGGGGACAGTGGTAGAAAGCAGCTCCTAGTTTGGCATTTTCAGATCCTAAGATGTGGCCTATTATTTCAAATGAGGCCACAAAAAAGCACCCCAGAACAAATGTAAAAAGTGGAAAAACGGAGGTCACCGAAACAGGAACAAGGTGGGAGAGGAGAAGACCAGGACTTTGTTTTGTAGTGTCTACTTAACATCCTGTGCTGGTCCTCGCCTGGCTTCCTCCTGAGTGAATTGCTCAGGGGACCATCGTGCCTCCGTGAGAGAGCGCTCGCTCATCCACAGGAGGAGGTGGAACCAAGAGTAGGGCCTAGTTACAGGCTGGCTTTGCTCTTAGTATCTGATTTTATTTCATTTGTATGCTCCATGCTGTTAAAACTTGGCCATATCTCCCTACTCCCAAACCTGCAGTGGGACGGTCTTTGTTTTCATGGGTAATAAAAGTCATTGCAAGTAATTAAACGGTGCAGAAGTATATAATGTAGAAAGTAATCTCTCTGATCCCGTGGTCTTCTTTATATAATTCAGGTGCTTTCATTGTTATTTCTTCTAAATTTTGATTTTTTTCTAAAATTTATGTAGGTATAAGGTGTGAATTAGGGAATTTAACCTGAGTTTTTTTTTTTTCCCGGATGCATAACTGATTTTCTTTTTTATTTTATTTTCTTTCTTTATTTTTTTTGGCTGCGTTGGGTCTTCGTTGCTGTGCGCAGGCTTTGTCTAGTTGTGGCGAGCAGGGGCTAATCCTAGTTGTGGTGCATGGGCCTGTCATTGCAGTGGCCTCTCTTATTGCAGAGCCCAGGCTCTAGGCGCACGGGCCTCAGCAGTTGTGGCACGCAGGCTCAGTAGTTCTGGCTCGTGGGCTTTAGAGTGCAGGCTCAGTAGTTGTGGTGTACGGACTTAGTTGCTCCGCGGCGTGTGGGATCTTCCCAGACCAGGGTTCGAACTTGTGTTCCCTGCATTGGCAGGCGGATTCTTAAGCACTGCGCCACCAGGGAAGTCCCAGTTTCTGTTTTCTTGATGACCTAAAGTCTAACTATATTATTATTTCCAGATGAATAACAGTTTATCATTTATTCAAGTATATATTAGAATATATATACTAGTGTGTATACACACACAGACACACACAGACACAGACACACACACACAGACACACACACACAAGTGGAAATCTAGTTTTGTTTCATTGATCTGTTTGTTCCTGTGCCAGTACCACAGTGGAAGGAAGCACAATTTTTAGCATTATGCAAATAAAAAGTTCAAAACAGAAAGGGATCTAAAAAATGAAAAGGCAGTCTCCCTCTCCTCTCCCACCTCTAATGTCTCTTTCCAAAAGCAACCACTGTTAATGGTTTTTCACATATTCCTTCAAAATATTCCTACGCATATACCAGTGTAAATGTTTTCAGTGAGATTGAATTGTTTGCAGTGTTCCACCCCTTGCTGTTTCATCTGATAGACCTTAGAAAAGTCTTCCACTAGCAGCACCTGCAGATCTACCCCGTTCTTTTTAACAGCTCCATAGTATACTGTGTTACATGCGGATGTGCCGGAGTTTACTTGTGAAGTCCCCACAGGTAGATATTTAGGTTATTTCCATTTCTTTTTTTATTACAAAGAAAAGGCGCGACGAACATCTTTAAACAGGTATCCTGGCACGCTTTTCAAGTATAGTGATGGGTAAGTTCTCAGCACAATTACTGACTCAAAGGTTATGTGCATTTAAAGTTTCGATATATGGGACATCCCTGGTGGTCCAGTCGTTAAGACTCTGCGCTTCCAGTGCAGGGAGCTTAGGTTCGATCCCTGGTCAGGGAACTAAGATCCCACATGCCACGTGGTGCAGCTTCTAGAAACAAAATTAAATTAAATTAAATTAAAAATTTTTTAAAACATAAAAAGTTTCAACATATGATGTGCCTTGACCTGCAAAAAAGTTTACCAGTTCTCAGTCCCACTTAGAATATATGTAAGTGCCACTCTGTGCCCTTGCCACCACTGGGCATCATCAAATTTTAACTTTTGCTAATCTGATCGGTGTGGAAATGGTATTCTGTTTTTGATATCAGCCTTCTTTTTAACCTTGCAGTAAATTTTGATTATCTGATAGGGCATTTTCATTCTTAATTTTTTTTAAATTATTGATTGTGTTTTTTCAGGTAATTCATAGTATCAGTTTTTCAGAATCCCAAAAGAAACCTTTTGGGGGTTTAATTTAAATGTACAGATTAAGTTGGGGAGAATCATAATCTTTATAGTATTATCTTCTTACTTAGAAATATGGCATTTCTGGCCTCTCGCCTTCTGAGATGGCCCACACTCTGTGGAGTGTGTTTCTCTCTAAATAAATCCACTCCTTACCTATCGAAAAAAGAAAAAGAAAAAAAAGAAAGAAGTATGGCATTTCTCCACTTGCTGAGATTTTTTAAAACACCCTGCAACGAGATTTGTAATTTTCTTCAGAGAGGTCTTAATTTACAAAGATTTTAATTTCCAGCTGTATTATATTTTGTATTTACATTTTTATATTTTTTATTGCTACTCTGAAAAATACCTTTTTTCCCCCTGACTGATTATATAGAGTTTGTGTTTAATTGGTTGTTTTGAATATTTATCTTATCTGCCATCTTACTGGACTCTTTTTTAATAGCTTTTCTGTTGATTTCAAAATCCTGTCTGCACAGAATGGTAATTTGGAGTCTTTCTGATACGCTTTTTCTCATCCTTACGTCTTTGGCTGGAACTTGTGGGGCTCCGAGCAGTTACCTCTGGGCCTGACTTTCATGGGAGCTTTGCATGCCCTCTGCCTGCCTCACAGCCTGCCCTCGGTCCCACTCCCTGCCACTCTGCCTCTGGGTGGTCACTGGGGCTTGGTTGGGGTCCCGTCCGCTTCTCATGGAGCCCTTTATCTTTCCTGTCTGGGACGATCAGCTTTTCTGTTGATCAGAATCCGTCTGCTTTATTTGTTTCAGGAATTCCTTTATACGTTGGTCCCTTTATTATACCATTCTCTGTTTTTCAGTGCAGCTACATTTATTAATGTATCTTATTTACAGACACATGTTGTATTATTGCACTTTTCTTTATTGGGTTTTGCAGGTACTGCATTTTTTACAGACTGATGGTTTGTGGCAGCCCTGTGTTGAACAAGTCTGTCAGCACCATTTTTCCAACAGCATTTGCTCACTTCATGTCTCTGTCACGTTTTTGGTAATTTCTGAAATATTTCAAACTTTTATTACATTTGTTATGGTGATCTGTGATCTTTGATGTTACTCTTGTAATTTTTTTTTATTTTAAAATTAAGGTATGTACATTGTTGTGTTAGACATAATGCTGTGACACACTTAATAGACTACAGTATAGTGTAAACATAACTTTTATATGGACTGGGAAACCAAAAATTTGTATGACTCACTTTATCATGATATTTGCTTCATTGTGGTGGTCTGGAACCGAACTTGCAATATCTCTGAGGTGTGCCTTTGAAGGAAAAGAAAGAAGTAAGTTTGCTTAGGTGTTTCCCTGTTGTTGGGCTCAGGAGTTGTGTCCAAGTTTTCATT